AGCCCGCCGCATCTGACCAATCGCAAACATGGACAAGTCTGGAGCGTCAGAGCCGGCAGGAGAGCGAAGGACCGCAGACTTTACAAACGAGGAGCAGGAGACGATCATGAGAAAGTATAAGGAATTCAAAGCTATCACAAACCTCAAAAGCAACACCGTCGCCACTACAAAAGCACGGAAGGCAGAAAATTAATCTTTGATGCCATTATCACCCTGAAATAGCACTGTTCAACATGCGTTTTTAACTAAGGTGACCAGACGTCCCCGATTTCCGGGTACAGTCTCCGAATTGGATGATCTGTCCCCGTCTAAAACTGTCCCCGAAAATGTCCCCGATTTAAGCGTTTCATGAATGAGAACAAAAATGTTGCATGTGGGCTAGAACAACAGCTATTACACTGGGTAGGAAGCACAAGTAAGCAGTCCTGAACAACAGTCTTTACGGGGTTATTAAAAGGGGCGTGCGCTAGGCCTGGACGATATAGAAAAAAAGCATATCGATAAAAAAGAAATCATATTGATCGATAATTATCAAAAAAAATTTAACATATATATTTTAATTGCAGCCCTGGATGTTTTATGCTATTGCTTAATGACCTACTTTTAATAAAGAACACACAAGCACTGAATTCAAATTCAAACTTTTATTCAACCACCTTTTTTTTTTTTTACCACAACTGAAAGTTTTTTAAAAAAGAACTTAAAAAAGAAAAAGAAATCAACTGTGGCCTGAGTGATGTCAGTAAATACTGACAAACATAAACACTAAAGTGACCAGAAAATCTGATAAATAAATATTTAAATAGTCTTTTGATGAAAATAAACAAAACAAACAAATGTATAAATAAACAGAATAGCTTTAGGTGGGAATAGCATACTACCAGTTTTAACTGTGTGGGAAACTGCCCACAGCCTGGTGTCTGAACACTGAAATATTTCTCCCAGGGTCGGGAGATTTATTTTTTTTAATTATCATGTGATTGACTTAATACGCAAACTGAGCACGAGAAGCAGGACTTATCCACGCCGGTGTTGTGTCGTAGAATGCACCCCTGCCGAATGCCCTCCCCCCGACGAGAGCGCGGTTGAAAGTATATTTGCTGTCCCGAAAGTATAATGTTCTCTACCTTGACGTCTTACTGTACAGTTTATATACCCAAGTACACCTCGATATGTGCATTTTTGAGACACATTAAAACAGAACGAAAGTTTGCTAGTAGTCATGATCCAAGTACTCGCAAATGAGTGGACGGGATGCAGGGGTGCATTCTACGGCACAACACCGGAACGTATTTCCTCCGCACCCTTCTCACCTTTTCAACCCCTGACCCATTTTCATGCCTGAAGCGTTGTGTTTGAGAAATACTTGCGGCCGGGCACTTCATATCGCGGGTCAAGAGTGGCTAGAAGCTGTTTGAAGCCTGGCTTTTCAACGGTAGTTATTGGCAGTATGTCCCTCGCTATGAAGCATGTTACTGCATGGGTGATGTCCTTATGCCGCTTGGACGCTTTGTCGTATTTTTGGCAAGAAACGAAGTCCAGTTTGGTCTGCTTCACTTGCTTTGTGCTGGGGCTGGCAGCGGTTCCAGAGGATTCCTTCGACAACGACGACGTGGAGCCGCGGTGCGGCCGACACAGCTCGTACTCCTGCGGGTGCGACCGGTTTAGATGGTAAAACAAGTTGGTTGTGTTACCAGACTTGGTTTTTACTAATTCTCTGCAAATTTTGCAAACGACCGCTGTTTGCTTTTTGTCAGACTTGTAAAAACCAAAATATTGCCATGCTGGTGAACTACTGAAACCTTCTTTCGGGACAATTTCCTCCGCTTCTCCTTGCTGTAACATTTTTTGTTATACACGTGCTGTCTGTTGTGGTTTGAGAGGGGCTGGGCTTGGTGCCGTAGCGTACCTGGGTCTGCGTTTGTGATTGGTTGGGAGGAAGTAATGACTGTAGTAAAAGCTACATGATAGGCTATGATGAAAAAGAAAGGGAAACTGTGTTTTTCTATCGAACTTTTTATCGACCCGTTTTTTTTCTATCGCACCACACGTCTATCGATCGATATATATTGTTATCGAATTATCGTCCAGCACTAGCGTGCGCTGCTACTAAATAGTACCGAGATGTTGTCTGTGATCACACAGCCCATGCCTATTCATTTCCAAGATTAATTCATTCATTTGTTCATTCCTATCGTGTTTACATGTTTTGTGTGATATGTGGGCCATATGAGCCTTCCATAAAGGTGGTCATCCGGAGAAGTAAATGGGTCCGTGCAGTCCTTGTAAACTCTCGCGCACCGGAGTGCTCCTCCTTGGACAATGCGAGCACCGAGGTCTACAAGATCCTCCGAGAGCGGACAAGCCGTTTGGTCAGTGGGCGGGGTTGTTATGCTCGGTGAGTTCAATCTGGAACATAACCTGCCCCGGAGCAGGTTAGCCGTTCAGCGTATGCTGCCATGGAGACTCGCCTCGCTAAGAAGTGAACCCGCGTCGTAGAACAGGAAACCCCGAACTTACCCTCGAAGTTATCTCGCTATGCAGTAATCCTGCTTCATAGAACAGGCCCCTGATTTGAGACAGTTTTAGCAACTCCGAGTAGTTTGACCTGGAGTTAAGCACGTGCACGCCAGACATACACAGCCAGCATCTGTGGAGCCCAGATTCATTGATCAACCAATGGAAACAGGGAGAAGGAGGGGGCAGCAGCAGAGGGAGAGGGCATGGGAGGAAATTGCTGCTCGCGTCAATGCGTAACTTTAAATCTAGTCTTGTGCAATCACAATGACAGACTGTTGCAGGGGAAACTGCTTGCATGGAGCAAATTAATTTATTTTATGTAGGTGCAATCCAGCGGGTCAAAAACGCACTTGGCAGCAGCTGAAAATTCCCATTTTGATCATGTTTTACATTGTCAAGTAAGTATTAAGTGGCAGTTTGATCCCTTAAAAAATGCTCTTTCACACTCAAAAATGAATTTTACTCTCTTATGTTCCGTTAAATGATTAGGAATATTAAACTAACACAGACTTTCACTCAGCAAACAGAAAGAGGGCAGATGCCAGAAAAACGGGTGTAACGGAGGCAGAGTAGCTGCCCGCCCTCGCGGCCGGTCCAATCGCAAATCCCGGCAATTCACCGGTTTGTTGACGTCAGCAGAGCCCTGATTGGCTGTCGTGGCACGGTGTCGTGGAAAGTGTTATCCAAACTTCCCCAAGTCCGTTGATGGAGACTGGAACAGAGGGAGGTTGCACTAAGTTGCTCATGAACAGCTATAGAGAGATCACGGGTGGCATTAGCAAGCCTCTGGTGGTTGATATATGAGTTCCCACAAAAGTCGCTCCCAATGTTCAAATATTTGAACTCCCAAAGTTCAAAGCGACGCGACTTGGCGTCCTGCGACCTCGGGCGGCTCGACCTCAGCGACCATGCGGGACCATAGACTGTATATAAGATGGACAACCTGGTTCCGCCTTCCGCCTGTATACGGATTTGAAGCCAAAAAGCTCTTGGTAATTCCGGGTTTTTCTCCACTTCCTTGAAACCAGAGCTGCGCAGTAGCGATGCGCGCATTCGGTTGCGCAGTCGCCGAGAGTCCCTGTGATGACGCTCAGCTCAAACGGCGTATCCCCCTGGGAGAGCTACGCAATCCCTGAACGCCCATAGGCTGTACCAGGTGTCAATTATAGAAAACATGAACCCCCTAATAACTTTTAAAAACGGAGCTGTACAGAAAAAAAAGGACTTGGGCACAAACCAGTCTTACAATAACTACATGTCAACATCACAAGCAGGGGGGAGAAAAAATTCTGTTCTGTGTAATAAATTTATAAATTTTGTCCACAGTCCCATAAGCTTTGCTGGCGGAGGGGGGATTTATGACCTGTACTGCAGCCCACCATCAGAGGGTGCTGTTCTCGGAGTGACTTCACCCAGCGAGGAGGCAGACTCTGTCCATCTTATATACATGCTGCGTCCGAATTGCCCGCTCGGATACTACATGCTACTGCTACATACTACTGCTAGATCCTACTCCTGCATACTAAACACGTTGGCCCAATTCGGACACACTAGACGAGCGGTGGGGAAAGACGACCCCCGCAGGCAGAGAGTAGGTACTGCACCCGTGCAGACACTGGTAACTGAAGCCCCTCATCTGCGGGCCTGGCTGTAGTACTGCAGCTGTGCAGTTTAATGATGGAATAAGTGAGCTTTACCTCCATGATGTCGCCACATATTTGCTCATAAAATGATTACTTGGGCAAATATGACACCATGACATGACAAAGAGATACAACCGCACATTTTTTAGGACAGTGTGTGAAGTTACATGAAACTTACATCTGTACTGCTGCGGTCCCGCCTGCTGCCGCTCCGACATGGTGCGCGCTGCTGTGGCCAGCCGGCGTTCGCGACACATCTATGCTGGTGGCGCTAGCATCACATGCGCTTCTACAACTTTTAAGAGGACGAAGAAGAAGCCCGCGGTGCATTTTGGGTCAGTAGCATGCCCGTAGGATGCACCGCGACCAACCTACAATGTGGGCGTGTCTAGTATCTGAAGTAGTATCTGAAGTAGCATGCAACTCGCTCCGGTGGCCAATTCGGACATGCTAGATACTACTTCGACTACTACTTGGCAATTCGGACACAGCTACAGTCTATGTGCGGGACCTGGTCACGTCGCGTCGCCGGCAGCCGGCGGTCGCCAAGTCGCGTCAGGTCGCGGTTGTACATAGACTTTGCATTGGGAGTCGTTACTCAGGTCGCCGAGGTCGCGTTTGGTCTGAACGCGGCTTAAGCGCTAAAAGCAGAAGGAGGAGCTCGGTTAAATACTTAAATAGAAATAGGCAAATGTCGCTCTCTAGACGCAGAATAGAACAACACGGAGGCCTATTTATGTTCTTTAAAGGACGCTCGCTTCGCTCGTTTATTAACGATCTTTGTTGAGAATCGTCCCAAAATAAACGATCTTTGGTGAGAACAGGAAACAGTCGTGGATCCTCTTCCTGGTACCGCCCCTCTAAGCTGACTCTGTGCTGTTGTAAACACAGCTCCTCCGTCTACCGGCTCGCCTGGTCCCCTCCGCCTCCTCTCCTGTCTTCGGACTCCTCTCTGCTCCTCAGACTCCACCACAATGGGAGAAAACGACGACGGAGACGTCATCGAGCACCACGTGGAGGAGGAGATGGAGAAAAGGGACGCGAGGAGCCACGCAGCCTCCTCCTTCCCGGAGAACGTCACTCCGTCCGACCGGGACCAGGAGGGCCACAGCGGGACCCAGTCCTCCCACAGACTGCTGGCCTACAGCGACGCCCTCATCTCCATCATCGCCACCGTCATGGTGAGACAGACGGGCACGGGCTGAGGGAGAGCGGGGAGGGGGCAAAGACCAAATGTGGGTGGTGGATACGTATGAAAACAGATAATTTCTCATCAGCGATAAAGAAAAAAATGAATACCTGTGCCTAGTGAACCCAGAACAGTTTTTTATTTATTTATTTTTTTTTTTTTTTGGGGGGGGGGGTGATATTTTCACTCTTCTGTGCAGAATTACCTCTAACATTAAAAGCCTGTTTTAAACTGCAGGAACTCCCCCAAAGTACCAGGAACCTCGGAGTGAGATATCTTTAACACTGTTGTGATAAGACCCATTTCTATTTGATTTACTCCTGGAAAACACCAAGGAAGCAGTTCTTTCAAGTTGAAGGACACTTAATAACAGAAATGCCTCCACAGAAGCTTAGCAGGATCAGCATCTCCAGAAACTCCTGATTTATCTCCAACATGTGTTCATTTCAAGCTTTAACACCTGATAAGATGGCACAGCCTGAGATCTGAATGGTCACATTAAAATAAAAAAACTATCAGTTACAGTTTAAAAAATCACTTCTAGCTGTTTCTAGCTGTAGGCGAGTTTATTTCAGACTTCTAAATTCAGGACCAGCAGAGGAGGGCAGCCTGGGTGAAGGAAGATTGGTTGGGTAAGAATTGGGGGGGGGGGGGGGGCAGGGGTAGAGTGCTGAGTATCTGAGTACCTGAGATCTCCTAATGCTCTCTCCATCCACAGATCTTACCTGTGGCACACACGAAGATGGAGGATACTGAGGTAATGTTTGACAGTGACAATGTTTGTGTAACTGCAACAGTCAGACTCTGCAATAAACTTCAGACACCAGCACTGTACAACAGGTGACGTGTGTGTGTGTGTGTGTGTTTCAGGAGTTAAGGCAGAGTTTGCAGCTTCTGCTAACGACAAAGATCGCTGTTTATTTGATGACCTTTCTGATTGTGACTGTCGCATGGGCCGCTCATATCAGGTATTTTAAAAAAATCAATTGTTTATATTATTTGTTTTTTATTCCAATTATTTTAATAGTTTTTATTATTTATTAATTTATTTTCATTACTATTATTATCGTCATTATTACTGTTATTCCTTTTTTTAGTTATTATCAACATTATCATTTTTATTATCATTATTGTTATTCTAATTACTGTTATTGTTATCATCATCATTATTATTATAGAGAGATTTCATGTGTCTCTCTCTGTGTTTGTGTTGAAAATCACAGATTATTCCAGGTGATTGTTCGTATTGATGACTGCCTCGCTCTGCTGAACCTTGTGAGTTAACAGTCTCCTTTTCCTTCCTTGTCTCCTTCCCCTTCTCCTCAGATCTTCCTTTTTTCCTCCCTTTTGTAATTCTATTTTTTCCTCCATCTGTTGTTTCCTGTCCTTTCCTCTAGTCCTCCTCTTTGTTCCTTCTGTCTTCCTTAATTTTGTGTATACTCCTGCATTTTTTTCCACCTTCTTCTTCTCCTTCCTCACCATTCTTCATCATTATTGTTACACGTGTTTCTCAGAGTAGTATTGAATCATTCATCTTGATTAAATGGTAATTTAATGAATGTGTGCTCCTAAAGTAAAGTGGTCCTCTGTCATGTTTGTGTATTTCAGGCCTGTATGATGCTGATCACCTTCCTGCCATACACAGTGAGTATAAAGCTCCACAGTAAATTCACGAATGAACCTGTTTGTGCTTCATTTAAATGAAACTCACCCTTACCGATGCTGTTTTTCCTTTTCTCTTCTACCCTCTCAGTTTTCTCTGATGGCGACTTTCCCTGAGAACGTTCTAGGGATTTTGCTTTTCTGTGGCTGTGTGATGGTGATTGGTGTCATCCAGGTAAGCCATTTTAAGACACTGAATTACATTTAATGCTATCGTCATATCCTATACAGTTAAATTTTTCTGTGCACCACTTTATTCCGAGAACATGGACTTTACAATGACTTCACCTCGCTGTTTTTGGTGTAACCCTTACCTGTAGTCCTGATCCTGTCTGTCCTTCATGTCTCCTCAGTGTCTCATCGTGCTGTATGCCTTCAGCCGTCCCTTCCTGCTGAACGAGCAGATCCAGATCTCAGAGAACCAGACCTTCTACAAAGAACACATCCTCAAAGTCATCATGAGGGTACCTCTCATGTGCCTCTTTGCCAGCATAGTCTCTTTCATCTTCTTCCAGCTGGTACGGGACATCTTCCTTTCTCCTTCAGGACTGGAGCTTTAAAGCATCTAAATGTAAAATGATAAATATTTGAGACCTTTTGATGAAAAGAGTAAATTTAAGTGTCATCGGTTGTTTCAGTCTTACGTCCTGTTGGCAATTGTCATCTTCCTCCCGTACATCTCTCAGGCTCTGAAATGGTGTCGAAACAAAGCCATGGGTGAGCCACAGATTTCTTCCTTTACTCTGAGTGTGGACTCGTCTTCTTCTTAAACCAAGAAGTAAAAATTTGTCCCCTCCAGGTCAGGTGGAGGAGACCCCGGACTCCATGATGTTTTACACCTACCTGCCCAATGAGCCGCTAAGTAAAGAGCGTGTGGAGGCGTTCAGTGATGGAGTTTACGCCATCGTAGCCACGCTGCTTATCCTGGACATCTGGTCAGTGAGACCCTAGTTTGGTGATTAAAACAGAACAAGGGTGGGTCTGAATAAACTCTGACTTAATTACTGAACATACCATGTTATTGAGCTACATGTTGTAATGTAATCATGTATTATCATTTAGGTCTCAGAGTTGATGATTTCATCGTTACAGGCAGAAGTATCTACAAAGACATAAATAAAAGGGTTTAATAACAGGAGAAGAAATAATGGATCAGTCTAAGCAGAGTGCTACGATGACCCTGAAGGTCCACAGCTACACAGGTTTTTAGTTCGGGTCAGGCTTTCAGGGTCAAATTTGACACTAATTGATTAAATCCACGTTAGCTGAGAAAGACTGTCAGAGACCTTCATCAGTTAGTGCTAAAACACTTCACAGGGGCGTCATCCTGTGTTACTAAAAACTGACTCACCTCATTTTCTCCTCAGTGAGGATAATGTCCCCGACCCCACCGTGGTGCAGAAGCAGTTTGGCGGAAGTCTGGTCATGGCCCTGCAGGCTTATGGTCCGGAGTTCCTGGCGTACTTCGGCTCCTTCGCCACTGTTGGCCTCCTGTGGTTCGTGCATCACTCGCTCTTCCTCCACGTCACCAAGGCGACGCGCTTCATGGGTCTGCTGAACACCTTCTCTTTGGCATTTGTTGGAGGTTTACCGTTGGCTTACCAGCTCACTCACGAGTTCCCAAACAACTCCAGGAACGAGCTAGAGGCAATCCAGATCAGCTGTGTGATCATCTTCTTCGCAGGAATCTTCCAGCTGGCCATCTGGGTGGTGGCTCTGTTCCAGGAACAGGAAACTCTGCACCCATATGTAAGATATGGAGGCCACGAGCATGTTTTCATGTTAGCTAAGCTAGCACTGTACCCCTGCGTGGCCCTTGGGACGTTCTTCCTCACTTGTATTCTAAGTAAATTCAGCGCTCCCATCTTCCACCTGATGGAGATCACCGTGCCTTTCGCCTTCATTGTGCTCAGGCTGATGGTGAGGATGGGGTTAGTGTTACTACGGCTGGTGTTCTGTCCTGACAGGCCAGATCAGAGGTCCATCATCGTGGAGGAAGACGAGACCAGAGTGCCATTCAACGCTTTAGGGACTTAGCTCCCCGAAAAAGAGGGTTACTGAGAGAGATGATAGTCAGAGCAGGAAGGATGTCAGACTCTTACAGAGTCACTGTGAAGGTCAGTGAGGAACCAGGACGAATCAAAGCTAGTTTTTCTTTTTGAACCTATTCAGATTCTGAAGAGGGATCAGAGGAAACAGGATCTAAAGAGACCTACTAGTCTGAAGAAAGAGTCAGGAGTTGAAAGGTCTGAAAGTTCAAACAATGAAAAGATGAACCAAGGAGGACAGATTTCTGTCTTTAGACCGTCTAAACTTCAACTAGTTTCTGTAAAATAAGCTTTTCTCACACCTCTCATGTTCAGCACTTTAAATCAGTTTGTCTGTGAACTCTCTGAATGCACTATTCCTGAATATTTCTATTCTTGTTGGAGGTTGACTGGAAGATAATTGGGCCTTGTCAGAAAGCTGTACTGTTAAAAATGCAGGAGGAAAAAAAAAAAAAAACATTTAGGCTTTTATCTGAAAAAAGAGGCAAACACCCGTGACTTTTACAGAGTCACATGTAAAATGTCATCCTATGGACCTCATAACCACAGATAAATAAATAAATGTGCTGCATTCATATTGAAAAAGCGTGTTTGCTAATGACTAGATGAAGCTGTTGATCATTGAATATCACAGATGTGCAGCTGAAACAGTCCACTCTGAATTATCCAATGACCTAATACTGCCAACTTCATGTTGCTGAAGCTTCTTCAGCTGCAGCTGTGTCACACACTAACCCATCCTCCTGTCACAGTCTGCAGACAGATGCTGAGCTGCTGCCAGGTGAAACAGCACCTCACAAAACCGCTCCTTAGATTTGACTTTAGAGTCTGTACTCCAAAAATTTTAATGAGCAAACAAAATGAAAATATTATCCTAGTGAGACTTTAGGGGCTGGTCCTTGTTAGTGAAGAAATCAGTTTTTTATTTTTTTTATTTTTATTTATTTATTTTTTTATAAAGGTTAGTAATGTGATGTTCCCAGTTTGTCCAGAAGGGGCCACTGTTGTGTGTGTATGAGGGTCTGAAGTCAATTTCATCCTGTTCCTAGATCAGCATCAACATCATTTTATTTTTTTAAAGACAGACTTGAAGAAGAGAAGCTACAAAAGCGAATTGCATGAAAAACAGAAAAATCACAGAAAAACAGGGGAAAAACTATTCTGAAAAACAAAGAAAAAAAAACCTTTAAAAATCAGAAAAAATTTGTCTGAAGAACAGAATAGAAAAAAAAATACAAATAGGGTTTTATTATTTTATTTTATTTTTTTTGAGGGGCAGTGCAATATGCTTCCGTAAGAAGCTAACAGATGATGGAGGATCAGATGAATTAAAACGGTTTTAAGACAGTTGAAGTTTAAAAGGAGAAGATACCTCAGCTGGCTCTGAATGTTTGGATAAGAAAAGCCGTTCCTTCTCCTTTATGATTTATTTCTGTTTCAGATTTTTGTTTTAAAGTCACTTTCTAGATTCCAGCTACACTTAAAACAAAGTTTGATTTTTGAATTAGGTGTCCATTTTCTGTGATCTGTGAGCTCAGAGCAGATTATTTCACTTTTTTTCAGAGTGGAAATCAGTTTTTGTTTGTTTCCTGCCAATAAATATAAACGGCTGTGTTTATATATTTTCAGATAGTTTTCAAGAGAAGATCTAAAAACAGCCAACAGCAGCATGATCTTTGCTCTGGTTTTAAACTCACAGCAGAATGACCTTCAGAAATCACAGCATATATTTAATGCTTAGCAGTCTGCCTATCTGTCCGTCTGTCTGGGAATCCTACATATTTTTCATATTGTCTGATGAATTTTCTGTTTAAATGTGCAAACTGTCGAACTTTGTTTTGTGAATAAATATTAAAACCAAATGTGAAATTCAAGGAGCCGTGTTTCTCTCTCTGTATGTGTTTTGGTGCATTTTCTTTGTAAATATCCAAAAACAGACTAAAAATCAAATCTGTGAAAAGATTACAAAGTAAAAAAAAAACAAAAAACAGTGAGACACATTTAGGAGAAACAAACCTTTATTCACCTCTATACAGTAAACATCTTTACAGCATCCCTACCAAGATCTGTGTGGTGCACATTATTAAGTTTTTTCCCTAAATATATTACCATCCCATTCTCTTTACAATAATCTGAAATCCACTCCAGAAGCTTAAGATCTCCATTATTAGAAAACATTTCTGCTCAAAGCAAGTCAAACAAAATATTCACAAAATGATAAATTAAAAAGACAAAAACCCCAAACATCTGCAGTGCATCATTATCAGACTTTTTGGCTCCTAAAATCTTGTTTTCTTTCCTACTTTAAACTCTGACCCTCGAGCGTTTCAGCCTCAGGACTGGAATAAAAATATAAATTAAAGCACACACAAAAAAGCGCTCAGATCTGGGGCCTATTCTACGAAGCAGGTTCAACCTAGTGAGGTAGCCTTGGAGTTACTTCGCTCAACTTAGCGTGGTAGCCACCGGTCTCGCTAAACGGTCTTACGACGCTGGTTATCAACCTCGTAAGTGGATCCATTCTGCCGTATCTGACCAATTGGGAACATGGACCAGTCTGGCGCGTCAGAGCAGGCCAGAGAGCGAAAGACCACGTACTTTCCAAAGAGGAGCAGGAGACGATCATGAGAAAGTATGAAGAATTCAAATCTATCATAAACCTCAAAAGCAGAAAAGCAGAAAAAGCAGAAAATCGCCGACAGTCTCAATGCATAAGTATAGTGCGCAAAAAGTCCTTGATGCCATCATCACCCTGAAATAGCACTGTTCAACATGCGCTTTTAACATGCACCAGACATGTCTAATTCATTTCCAAGATGAATCACTAATTTGTTCATTTCGATCGTGTTTGCATTTTTTGTGTGATATGTATGCCATATAAGCCTTTCATAAAGGTGGTCATCCGGAAAAGTAAGTGGGTCCGTGCAGTCCCTGCAGCTCTCGCGCACCGGAGTGCTCCTCGGACAATGCCAGCACCGAGGTGTATAGGATCCTACAAGAACGGACAAGCCATTTTTCGAGAGAGCTCATTGGCCAGTGGGCGGGGTTTTTATACTCGATGAGTTCAATCTGGAACCTAACCTGCCCCGGAGCAGGTTAGTCGTTCAGCGTACGTTGCCATGGAGACTCGCCTTGCTAAGAAGTAAACCTGCGTCGTAGAACAGGAAACCCCGAACTTACCCTCGAAGTTACCTTGCTAAGCAGTAATCCTGCTTCGTAGAACAGGCCCCAGCTCTAAAGAAAAAACTGAAACCTGGAGTCTGGAGTGTTTGGAGAGTATTTGACTTTCTCTTCATTTTGGGTAACCAATTAAGAAAATATTTTAAAAATCACAGGATTTGATTCGTCTTTACTCTGAAAATGAACAATTTCACATTTTTACTGTTTTTTGATTTTACTTTGAACCTGACATTATGTCCGGTTTGGAGGATTTTAATCTCATAATAATAGTATCTATAGAATTATGATCCTGTCTGATTGTCTATGAGCCAAAATGTGACATTAGAGTTGAAACAGCTTCATTTCAGCATTTTCTCCATTTGACTGTTAAATAGAAATGGATTCACTATTCTGCTGTTCATGATTTTTCTCGGTGATGGTGCTTTACACTGCTAAATTTGGGAAGTCCTCTGATGTTTTTATTTTTATTTTTATTTTTTTATGTCAGTTAGTATAATGAGACTTTATAAAGGGGGGCTCTACAGTTTAGTGTTCTTATGCAATATTCATTATCATTTTGCATAATAATCCAGATTAAATTGGCCTCTTATTCTTAATTTTAAGAGCTTTGCTGCTTTTCTCAGTCTGATACCAGGTCTACTAAGCAAAGCAGGAGCCACATGCACCATGAGAAACTCAAAGGAAGATTTTTTGAGAATTTAAAAGATAAACGGACAGTTATTTGTGCAGTGAAATTGTTCAATAATACTGGCCGCACACTCCAGACTCTGCATGTTAAACAGCTGTTGAAGAAGCAGACGTCATGTGACCGCCGATTGTGTGTTTTGGGTGATTTTTGCGTCTGTCTGAACTTCCTCCAGATGCTAGCATGATCTGATTTTTTTGATAGTAAAGGTTGAAAAGGACAAAAATGTGTAAAGCAGGTTCATACAGTACAAACAGCTGGTCCCAAAAATCAACACAGCACCCTTTTCTTCTCCAAACCAGCAAAAATGCTCCAAAGAAATCTGTTCAAACCTCCTAAGGGTCTGAGCACAGGAGGTGAGTAGAGTCAAAGTGACACACATTCAAACAGATTCAGACTTGCAGATTCAAACTCTCACCATTTCCTGGTTCTCAAAGCAGTCAGAGGATGGTGAGAGTCTGGCTGAGGGCGGCAGAGCTTCTTCAATAAACAGACAGAAATCAGTGTTCATCAGACAGTGCTTTGGTAAACAGTTGTCTCTTAAATTAAATCAGAGGATCTGCACAAACGCAGCGCTGTGACAGTCTCATGATGCATAAATGTACTCTCTGAATGTCTCAGACTCCCCGCAGAAGTAGATCAACCGGCCCACACTCGGAGGAGTCAAACCTCACTTTGCATAAAAATCAAATATTGCTGATAAAACCTCGGCCCACAGTACCAGAGCTCATATATGTACATACAGTAGTGTTTTGATACTGTAAATACACACACACACACACTACATGTACTTCAATCTGACGTTATCATTGATAACATCCTAGATCTGAAACTACATTCAAGCTAAATAATTTAACAGTGATTTAATGCATAAGAAGTTTTTTCACCCTTACACAAACCTCGAGTTGGAGGACACAGAAAGAACATTTTAAAGGAACAGTTCAACATTTGAAGAATCAAAACCCTTTCTGTCAGAGAGGTAGAAAGACAACGGCCATCAAACTCATGTGAGAGTAAATGAAGTCTGGTTTCACAGCAAGGGAGGGAGTTAGTTTGGCCTAGCATACATAATGAAAGCAGAGGGTTCTGTTTAACTTATTTCTTATAATACATTCTGTCTTTCAGTATGGCGCACAGAAGCATTTTTTCAAATAGAGCTCCTCTTAAAGGCAGGCAACACATGCCTGAACCTTTACATTTCCATACAGGACAAACATGGTCAAGGCTGTGACACACTTTTACCAACACAGGTGGTTGTATATAAAAGAAAACTGAGGTCGGAGTTAAAAATGGTGTGTATGTTTGTGACATTACATCCTCAAAATAGAAGAAAGGAAATCGTCTTTGACTCTTGTCTTTTTAGGTTCAGAATTCTGACTTTGAACCCAGATTTCTGAAAACAAAATCAGAATTCTGGTTTGGATCTCAGAATTACAAAATTACTGTCAAAAATGTCTTATTCTGTTTTCTTGGAGTTTGACATTTTATCTCAAATTTGCAAGAAATTCCTGCAAAACAGACCTCAGTCTCAACACGTTCTTCCTGTTCAAACACGTGTACTGCAATAAATCAGACTTCAATAACATAAAATATTAACTGTGATGTCAAGTTTGGGCTCTTGAGGATTTCATGCATCCCTAATATGAGCTTCCACCCACACAGACTGCTGTCGTTCATTTGAAAGAAAGACTACACTGTCAGTGTCAGTCAGACTGAATATTAATGAGGCTAACTGCCTCCAGACCAAACACTCAGACATGAAAAAGATCAAATTCTTCATTTTCCCAGCAAAAATGAAGCTCTTTCCTCCCAGATGTCAAACTCTTCCTTTCACCCCTCTGTTAATAAAGGCTCACCCAGCACTCCCTCTAAAAAGCAGCAACCTCTTATCAAACCTACATTAATCTTAAAAATCTACTTGAATCATGCTAAAGGCTATGTAAGACTCTTTTTGCATATCATTTCTCAAAGCTAAAAAGTGTTTTTTTTTTTCTGCAGCAGGTCACATAAGTAGTTATAGTATGTCATAGTATTTGTTCAGATAAATATTTCCAGTATATCTATGTACATTAGATGAAGCTGAAGTGTTGATGCTCTAGTTTCTGCGTTAGCATGCCTACAGTCAAACTTGGCTGACTTTTATTGTGCAACTTTTTTAGATTCAGACAGAAAACTAAAAGCTACAGTTCACACGGTGGAGGAGGAGGAGATAAACATGGCTTGGTTAAGCAGGACTGGCGTACATGCTACATGTTTTTGTTACGCAGTGAGGTTAGGAGCTTTAAATAGAGAAGAGTCTATAAAACAGAGTCAACAGTTTGTTTCTGCTGCATGGTTTCTCCACCCAAACCAACACAGAGGAGTCTCATCAGTCTGTTTGCTGTAGCGCAGGTCCACCTGCCCCTCTCTTTGGGCCCAGTTTCTGCTGGTAAAAGCTTCTGAAACTCTTTGTTCAGCTAGAGTCAGTGCAAGATCTGCGTCCACATGTAAACTGCACATCCACCATCTGTCTGTGCAGAGGAGTCATGAGCTGTTGTCAGTTCCTTCGGTTTGAACTTCAGTGTGTGTTTTTGTAGTTTGTGCGCAGGTCCAGCTGGAAGCTACAAAGCTGCCTGTTTTCTTTTTTTTTTTTTTTAAGTTGTGTTGATGTGTTTTTTTCCTACAAGGTTTACCCTGTAGTCTGAAGAGTCACCTCAGGTCCAGAGTCTGGATTTGGAGCTGATTTTAAGTCAAATAAAGAGCCAGCAGGATGACGATGGAAGCTCTGTGAATGGCTTTGGTTCACACACAAATCAAACAGCCATCTTTATGAGTGTATATGTGTGTGTCTGTGCGTGCATGCTTACACAAACTCTCCAAACCCTCATATATGCTCTCCAGTCATCCTTGCTTGTAGCCAGCAGTGTTTCACTCAGCCTGTGCAGCAGCCGGGGGCAGCATGCCTCTCTCTCTCAGGTGTGTGTTCAGAGTGTGGAAGATGCTGAGCTGCTGTTCAGGCTGAAGCATCAACAGCTGCTGCAGCACTTTGCTTGGGTTCGGTCCTCTGTAAGATAACAATCACATATATGATCTCAGCGAAAACAGAGAAACAGAACTGGTGGTTAGCAGATCATTTAAAGTTGAAGACTAACACCACTGTATACCTTATTGAACCCAGGAGACCAGTTTCTGGAGTTTACGAAAAAAAACTCTGTGGATGTAGTGATGAGCTGTGTTCAGACAATGGTTTTTGAAGTGATTTTGAGCCCATGCAGTGATGTCCACTCTAGAGTCCTGTCTGTGCTGAACTTTTTTTCTGTTTGAGTGTTCCTCTGAGAACTTTTTTTAAACGAGAATATTTCGGTGTTTAAGTTCAATCTTGTTGTCTTCATTCAAAAACAGTCTTTAAGTGTTTAGCAGACCATCACATTCTGTTTTAGAAACACTCTCACAGCATTTTGACTCTTTTTTTTGGAGCTGCAGAAACTGTTGAAAGTTTGAAGAAGTCAGGACTGACAGAAGCGTTCAGGGTTTCGAACTTTCTCTGACATTTGTTAGTTTATTTTCTGTTGCTGCACTTTTTGTTTTTGAGGAGGAAACCGACCAAAACCAAATGTTACCTCAGCATATTTGGAGAAATGCAGTTTGATAGTAAATAAAAAAGGAAAGCTAATTCTGGTGAGGACATGTAGAAACCTGCAGGAGTAAGGTCTCTGTAAAACAGGGTAAAGGCTCATTCTGCTGCTTCTTGTCTGGCTGTTGAAGCTTTCACCACCTGAAATTTTACTGGATCATGTTCTTACCTGATGAAGCTGGCGATATAGACGTGTGTGAAGGTGGCCATCAGGTACTGACAGTCAAACCGGTCCATGATGCCTCCATGACCTGGGATAGTGCTGGCAAAGTCCTGTGGCAGAGAAGAGACCAGCTATATCAGATCAGCACTGAGGTGTTTCTTCTCTGTCTTTATCGGAGGGTTATTTTCACAATTCTGCACTGGTGTTTGGATGCCGCTGTTAGCAAAGATCACCTGTCAAACCCTGATACCGTCACCGTGCTGATTACATGAGCTTGAACTGGTGTACTGTCAGAGGAAGCTCTGTAACAAGCTGCTTAAACCCCCTGACTGACAGAGTGAATGTGAGGGGGTGCTGGTCACCTCCACAGCCTGCACACATGAGCAGGATTACTCAAAGCAGAGGTTACTGTCACTTTAAGGAAAATCTCTGCTCCACGCGGCAGTTAAAGTCGTCTGACCAGCTCCTGACATATTCAGAGGTCTGAATGAAACTGTCTGGGTGGAGCTCCAATCACTGCACTGTAGATAAACAGGGCCTTGAATGAAGGAGTGTTGAAGCTGAATTCAACATTTGAATCAGGACTTCACAGACACACGGAGTCCAAACCCCCGAGAGAGATTTAGAGTTCGAGCTCATATAGTTAAAGAAAAGTTTGTGTTTTAGTCCCTGACAGTTTAAGATTGTTATTTTGAGTGTCTGAAACAGTGACAGAAAGGATCCCTACAGTAATACGGTTTCTCCAGGAGAGCTGTGTCTTCAGTGTCCTCTTGATTATTGCTTTGTTGGAAAATGTACCAACTGTAGATGCTAATTAGAAATAAACATGACTGTAAACAATGAGGTAAAAATCACAGACAAAGAGAATTTAAGGAAGAAACAGTGATATCCCTCACTTTTATTTTGAAGGCTCGCTTGAAGCCGCTGGCGAAGAAGCCGCCAAATGGTCCAATGAGAGAGGCGAATGACGAGAGGAAAATACTGTGGATCTGAAACGGGTACAGGTTCACCGTTTTCTGAGGAAGAGATGAGAAAAAAGATAAAAAAGTGATTCAGACAGCAGTGAAGAAGAGTCATCCTCAGGTCCTGGCTGTCCAAAGTGTTATCAAAGCAGAGAGGAGATAATCAAGCTGCGGCAGAGCAGTTTATGAGAAATTTCATTGAGCTACTCAGTTTTGACAGTATATTAAACTTTTGAAGAAATACAATTAACAAACAAAAACTGATGAAACCAGGTAGATTCAAGGGGATTTAACAGGATTTTATTCACCTCTAGATTTTTAGCTGCATGTTATCAACAATGTTTGTACTAACTATCTAAAGATCTAAAAGGTGACCTCAGCGAGCAAAATGTTCACACTCTGAACAAAGTTTTCAGGTAGACTTTGAGAGGAAAGTTTGCATTTTTTTCTGCTGCCAGGGATCCTGTTACAGGAGATTAAGGTGCAGCAAAGGGTAATTACACTTTTTAAAATCAAGTTCAAGACATTTTAGGACCTTTTGAAGACCCACACACAGGAAAGTTCAGATCATTGTTGTGCAGCTGAATAATACAAAACTAACTCATGTTAAAACTACTTTTCAATATTATATGATATCAAAATTATTCTTTTCTTACAGTAAAGTTTTTAAGGGTATTTCAGTGATTTTATTTCTGTTAAGGAGGCATCGTCATGCCTAAGACGGAGGGACCTGCTGTGCATATTAACCTGATCCTAAAATTGGACATTTCGAGATGGATTTTGATGCTTTAAAAATAAAAAGACAGTCTTACCCAACTCAGAGTGTTCTGCACCACAGCAGGGAGTGTGTACTCCTGTATCACAAAGATGTCCGATGGCTCACACTCGACCATGAAGCTGTTGGTCTCACTGTTGAAGCCCACAGGACACACACAGTACTGAAGCTGAGACAGGAGGTAGGACAGCTAAGGGGAAAACACATCAAACAAACAGAAACCTCAATATTAATACTCTGGGTCTAATACCACCACCTGATACCTGCACCTGGGTGATGATCCAGGCCTGTTACAGGTATGACACACAGAGCTTAAATGATTGAATACATGATCATTTTTCTGATAAAATAAATAAGGACAGAATCCCAGAACCTGTGTCAAATACAGGATGTTTGTTGAAATGTGCTTTTCTCCATTTTTAATCAGTATTAGATCATCAAACAATATTTATTATTTAGAGGATATCTTGTCTTTCTTTGCCTCTCACATCTGACCCCCTGCAGCATTTAATGCACACTCTGCAAGGGAAGGGGGTCTCCTTCAGTCCATCCATCCTGATAATGCATAGGTTTAGGAGCGATACCTTGTGCTGACTATGATCCCTCTTATCATGATGCATTGAAATATGTGCAGACAGCACCTGAACAGTGCAGTCTCTGCTGCGTTGAACCCTTTCGATGTGCTTTTTGAATCTGACATAGTGTGCGACTCCGCGTGTCTCATTTGCAAAAGCAGCACAATCCTGCAGCATCGGGCCCTGAGTTTTTATTGTCATAAACAGCATCATGTGAATGTGATAGAAAAACTATGGCACATTCATATTACTGCACAGCCCAAAAATTCACTACTGCTCTAAGATCTTATCATATTAACTATCATACCTGCAATCTCTGGAATCCCCCACTCTAAAATCTGCTGGGATATAATCCTGCATCAGACTGGATCTGGTTTGTGTGACCAGATTCCACCAGCTACATGCTTATGAACTTCTGATCAGTAAAAGTGGGATCACAGAATGTAATTAAGTTTTTAAAGAGTTTCTGTTGCTTTAAACTGCAGGAAGAAATGAAATAGAAAGACTATGAGGAGCAAAACTACTCAGATCATGTGAGAGTTTGGTAAAAACAGATGACGTGTACTCACGATAAAGCCAAAGACCACAGTGGAGAAGAAGCCTCCGATGAAACCCTCCCAGGTCTTCTTGGGGGAGAGCTGCAGGGGGGAGGAGGAGGGACAGAAACAAAGACTCTTTCATATGGACGTGACATCAGCCTGGCCGCAAACTACATGTGATTTTACAGAAACCTCCTTTATCCCACTGTCCTCTGGGTTACTGAAAGACTCCTGTGTGGATGAATAAAGAGCAGCAGAAACACTCAAACCTTCATTTCTGAAACTTCTCAGAGCTGAGGGGGAGTTTCAACTTTGACCTAATGAGACTCTGGGCTCTGTGTTTACTTTAAAACCTGCAGGTTAGTCTGATTCAAACTCTCCAGGATGGAGCTGGATGATCAGGATCAGACCGGCTGAATCCATTCACACCTGTACTGACCCGATATCAGAGGGTTCTTTACTTTCAAACACACATGAACAAAATGGGATCAGCCTGGATCCAGAGTTCAATAACAACCCTCTTGTGGTTGATGCTGATATATGTGGCTTGGGTTGTAGTGTTTACAACATCAGCATTGTAGTGACTAACAGTAAAATCCACTTGCTCTGTGAGGAGCACAGGCATCCTGATGAACTGTGTCAGCTTAAATCCAAGTTCTACCTCAAGTCTGAACAGAAACTCTAATTTTAAAAGAGCCAAGAGCCTGTGTCACTATTTTATGAACCTGCTCTGTTTGTCGATATCTGTCTCAGTCCGCTGCTGTGAAGAAGCCATGATTTGGTATTCTACTGTCACAGGGAAAATCAATTATTGATCAATTATTCAATCATGGAGAATACTTTCAATCTCCATCCTAAAGAGGAACATTTTGGTCAACGATCAGCTCATGCTCTCCCAGATAAGGAAGTGTGTATAACTACAGTGTGAGATACATCCGCATTTATAAAACTGATAGATGACAGAAACACCTTTAAAATTCCCAAATATGAAACTTAACTAGAAAGACACAGGAAACGTTTGCCTCACCTTGATAAGAGGCGTCCTCCCAAAGAAGAATCCAAACAGGTAAGCCATGATGTCGTTGCAAATGACGATGGAGATCGGGACAATGAACCTGGAGAAATGAAGTTGACGCCAGGACGCCAGGAGAGAAGGTCAGACCACCACCAGGACAGAATCTGATCCAACCTAAGCCTGGCTGTAAATATGACTGTTTGTATGTGACCATGGAATTTAACTTCCCTTTAAACAGAAAAATTATCATATTTTTGTTTTTTTCTGGAAAATCACTTCTAAATGAATTTTTTGTTGCGTCACTGAAACATTATTTTCCGGCATAATGAGCGCCAAACAGTGATGACACCACACATGTGCAGTGACTCTCAAAGACAACATGGCAGCTTTCCCCCTGTCTGTCTGTCTGTCTGTCTGTGTCCTGCTTACCAGATCATCCCTTCAAACAGGTTCTGAATGACAAGGTGGGACTGAGTTACCACAATCAACAGGGTCACATGGGTCCAAGCAAACTGGAATGGCAAACACAAACACAAACACCACAGCGTCACTGCACTGGAATGTGGCACGGCGGATCAGAACGTCGGCTGGTGTCAGAAATCATGAAATCATACAAATGGACAGATGAGGTGAATGACAAGGAGGAAAACAGGTGACAGAATGAGAGACGGGGTGGGGGGTGGGAGAGAGAGAGAGGGAGGGGGAGCAGGCAGCAAACAGAAAAGCTGTTAGATATTTAAGGATGAGAGTCAGAAATATTTTGGGGGAAAAATTATCCTAAAAGGACTATAACAAAAAGAGGAATGAGTATTTAAGGTGGGTTAGAACTTTACGGTTCAACAAAACATAAGTTTCATAAACAGGGTCTGGGTTTTCCGGGTTTGGGTTTTCTGAAGTGTTCTGGTTTCTGAGTTTAGTCTGAGTAGTGTGCACCAATCAGGTGTGAGCAGGTTTTAGTGTCTGCTGGAGAATCAGTCAGTATGGAGAGCAAGAGCAAGAGGAACACAGTCCTCTATAAAGACCTCCAGCTCTCATGGTTGGTGATCTAAGGAGGATTTCTGTCTCTGTAGAAACTGATATCTGCATGAAGGTCAGCTAACAATCTGTTCTAGATCAAACATTTACACTAAGACACTAATCTGACTGATGCTCAGTCACCAGGGACAATCAGAGTTTAGATTTACAGACTTCCCTGAATGCATCAGACATGATGATCTGACCTCCATTCAACAAACCTACGTTTTACTCAGTCATTTTTTATGAATCAGGGTTGAGGACTTGGTGCAGAATGTATGGCAGCAGGAAAAAGCAAAGAGATGCATGAGAAGTGAAATGAAGCTGAAACCATTGCAGAATTACAGTCGGTCAGACAAACAGCACACTGAGGCGGATGGCCCTTTACAAACTATGACATTAAAACAACAGTAAGAATTAAAAGCCATTTAAAAGCAGAAAGATTTGATTTCTAAAAAGCCTGATTTTGAAATGATTTCTACAATGTCTGAGCACAAAGTGAGTTTTCAGGGGGAGAACACAGGAGGTGAGGAGCAGTGAGTGGGAGGAGAGGAAGGTTAGTGAGGAAAAGGAGAGTTTACTCTGCTGATACACACCATATAAAACTGCAGGCGGTAATGTTTCTTCACTAAACTCAGCACAAACATGCAGAAACCTGTGAAAGAGTAAACAACATGCTGTCAGTCTCCAACAGGTCATTGAAATATGCATCACAGTCAACAAAGCATAAACATTTCAGAAAAAAACAGGAGTCAGTGGGTTCAGAGGCTAACTCAGTCCTGAATCTAAGAGGCAGTGAAAGCCTCTCTGTCTGATCTCTGAGCCGGAGACCCTCGGGGAGCTGTTTCTGCAGACAAACCAATGAAGATGATGAAGATGCTGTCTACTTTAGTGTGTCGTTCAGACCAAAAACTGCTGCTGATGCCCGGCTCGGTCGACTGAAAGACAACTGAGTCAGCCACACTCAGGAGTGAGTGCGCGCTCAACCTGATGAGACCCTTAACGTGTTATGAGATGACGCTCTGTTATAGAAGCAGCAAATCAGTGTCGGACAGCTGATGATGATCTGATCAAACTATCAGTTTACTCACAGTGTTCACACTCAAATCTGAATTTAATAAATCCTTCAGCATTTGTAAGATCCTCAGTTAGGTTCATACTTGTGTTTAAGCTGGATCAGACCACTCAGGAGCCCCACCCTTACCAAAAACAAGTAAACCTCAAGTACATTTTATGAATATCATTTCAGTACACTTCCCCAAGTATACTTTGTACAATTACAGAAATATAATACCAGTGTACTTACTGGTAAACTTGTTGGGACTAAATTGGCCGATTTTAGTTTATAAAAGTACACTTGAAGGATACTTAAAAGTAAACTTCTTGGTATACTCTTAGTTTACTACTTATAAACTTCTAGTGCCCTTTTTAGTTTACAAAAATACACTCAGGGTCACTCAAGGGTCGGCAATAGGACCACCTCTTTGTGGACCCAGAGCAAAATAAAAAAACAACAACACGGCACAGCACTCTCTCTGACTCTCCAAGAGAGAGAGAGAGAGAGCGTGTGTGTGTGACTGTGCGCATGCTCACGCTTGTATTATGCGCTGATTGGCTGATAACTACGCAAACCGGCAGTCACACATCGTCCTCCTTCAGTCTGTCTTCTTTGCACGGCACAGGCAGCGGTAACGTCTTTGCAGCAGGAGCGTTGCTCACACCCAGCACCCGACATCAAAACGGCAAATCAGAGAAAGGTGGACACTGAAAATCGCTGATTCACTGACGAATGGACCGACAAATATATGATTATCTTACCTCCTTCAAGCACAAAGCCAATGTGTCTTTTGTGCAAAGCACTGTTGCTCTGATAAAAAGTGAAAACATAAAACGCCATTATGAGAAGTGATTTTGATAGATTGCCCCCCAAATTCTGAGCTACAAACAGATGAAATAAAAAGCTTATTTTATCTTATTGAGTAATGCTAAGTAAGAAAGAATATCAGTGTGATACTGAAAATGAATGTTTTTGTGCCTTCCAATAACTCCTGATTATTACAGTACAGTACACCCAGCCTAAAACTACATAAAAACATAAAAAAGGTTAAAAAAAATAAAAAACGCCAACATTTTTCACCACACATGCGCTGTGGACCTATGACTTCCTCAAAATGTATTTTCTGGACCTTTTACATTTGTAATTGAGAACCCCTGCTCTATAGCATATCACTTTTGGGGTGTACGGAGGGTGCAGGGTTTGGGGCGGACAGGTTAGATGAATTTCTGCTGTGTTAGAAATTCTTTTCTCTTTTTTTCTGAAACTTCTTTAAAAAATTTCTGATTTTCTTCTCAATAATCGTTAAAATAAAATATCTGATCAGGACAAGAGAGCCCAAAGACATGAAAGAGAAACAAGCTCCTCCTGTATACCAATCATTTTCAACTCTCTCTCTGCATAAATGTGTCTTTTACAAACACACTGTTCCTGCTGCAGATACATTCCCTCTACAGGAAACACGAGTGGTGGGTTCAAAGAAAAATCTTAAAGGTGAAACTCACCTGCCAGGTACAGAGCAAAGGAGATGAAACGGTGATAACGAGCCAGAAACTGCAGAGGCTCCTCCCTCTGCACCAGAGCGCCGAAGTAATCAGCCAGCGTCTCGCCATAGAAGAAGTAATTCACACAGATCAGGAAATACCTGAGACAGAAAAACAGGCTTTTCCTCACTTTCTGTTTTTCTGCACTTTAACCTAAACTTCCCAGCTTCTCCACAGTCACCTGCTGTTTGTTTTTTTTGTGTGCGTGAGTTTGCATGTGTGTGTATTTGTGTTACTATGACAAGTGTCCTTGGTTTCAGGGGCAAGTTTCAATTAGCTTCATTTGCTTCCAACCTGGCAGTGACCTTTGCTCCTGTCTTCTGTGAGTGCCGCTCTGAGTGTGTGTGTGTGTGTGTGTGTGTGTGTGTGTGCAGGTAAAGGTAACCTGTTAATAAGGTGTGTGTTGCAGGTTCAGTTTCTTTCATGCAGCTGAGTCAGTGTTTCACTACAGCAGACTTTTACAGGATCAGCCAACATGAGGACAGTGTTTTCAGCTAAAGCAGAGATGAATAACTTCTCCTGAATCAATAGTATATCCAAAAGTTCAGAAAGCTCTCCTTTAAATGACAACATTAAATTACAGAATATGACACATGCTGAATGATTCAGAAACAGTTGTGCTGCTGCAAAATAGTTCCTGAGGTTTGGTAAAGAGTGCTATGAAAAGTGACTTTCAGGTGATGTCTGGAATAATCCAGTACCAAGAACCAAGTCAACTGCTCCAGTCAAAAAGAGCAGGACTTTGAGGGGTACCATCAGGACCCTAAAAGTTCAGCATTTTCAGGGTAAAACCTGTTTAAAGATACATAACTGCACCATGTGTCAGCTGTTTACAGTTTACTGGGGGGAGGCGTTGATCTTACCAGCTGAGGGTCCTGAACCACGGGAGCTCATAGGAATGGTAAACTCGGTAGCCGATGGTGATGATTTCTTGGAAACACTTTATTTGGACCGTCATTACCTTTGTGAGACAAGCAGAAAAACAAATAAATACATAAAAAATCTCAGAGATGAGAAAACAGAGCGCTAACATGTAGATGGGCCTGTAACTGCAGGATCTTCTCTGTCTCTTACCACTAAAATAAGAGCAATAGGTCCCATGTAGATGATGAGGCAAAAGCCTGAAATCATGGCAAACGACAGTACTCCTCGTATCCAGTAGTTCTTCCATCTGTGGAGAGTAAAAATGGTGATTATTGCCATTCAAGAGTTTCCACAAACAAACAAAGGGTGTATACTATGACAGATTTATGACCGATATCTGACTCCATGTCATTATTTCCAGTTCTAAAACAGGGGCTGGATAAAAACCAACATCAGAGCCATCAAATTAAAATATGAGATCGTGTTTGGCAAAGACTCAGAAGTTATCTGGATGGTGTATTTCTATCAGCTCAACAGCAGACGCTGATAAAGGGAGGAAGTCTGCAAGCCGTTTCAGAGGCTTAATTTCATTGGCTGTAAAGTTTGTGATTTTATGACGGTTAAAAATAAAAGTTTCTGCTTTTAGCTGCATGAGGAGCAGCTAAAAGCAGAAAGGAGATGAATCACTTCTAGGGACAGACTCTGAACAAAACCAAGAGTCCAGGTTTATTATTTGAGGCACAACGGTTCTTTGAGGTAGATGCTAATACTAGCAAGCTAAACTGGAACCAAAACAACCTTTTGGGCTGTAACATGATACCAAAAGTAGATCTCCACAGCTGCAGTTCCTCCTCTGTCCACTAAAAGCAAGCTCCTGCAGTGAGTCAGCCCCCACAGGGCCCCATGTTTAAATGCCCAACTAAAGCTCCAGTAAACAAATGGTGTGCCACAGGGTTTTGGACTAGGTACTCTGATGTTCCCATTTCTTATCACAAGCTTATGTTGAGATGTTGCTGATGAAGTTAAATTATGTTGCAAATACTGTTTCAATTCTTCATTTTGATTTGGATAATCATCATTGACTTGACAGGTTTTAGTGCTAAAACTGCAGTTCATCCAGTGCCCACGAGGCTGTGTCCTGGAGTGAGTCAGTCCCCATAGAGCCCCATGTTAGAAATAAAGATGTTTACAGGCTGGAGCAGTAATTGTTTGGGACTCTGTAGCTCGTTTCTCTGTTCATGACAACAGCACAGACTGAATTATGGGAGAATTTCCTGGCTCACTTTTTTTCCATTGACCGCTGGACCCACAGACTGGTGTCTGTGTATCTTTTCCAATGCTGCAGAGCTTCTCAGTCACCGTCTGGCATAATAATACATTATCATCCTTATGGAGGTGATGACGATCTAAATGTAAAATGAGACCCTCTCCAGCAGAAACCAGAGGGAGATATGGACCGGTGAGAGTGCAGCGCAGCAGATAGTAGTGAAAGCCTGTTTTCCTCCTTCTTTGTTAGCTTGTTTTGTTCAGGTGCTCAGTGTGTTGCAGCCTTTAAGTATCTGGCACAGCCAGCAGGCCTAATGATAGTTAATCCTCTGGATCTGTCCTCAGATCTTTGTACCAGTGATGCCCGCAGGGACAGCAGCATGGCTGAAAAAACAGACCAGGGCCTCGTCCCCTGGACTATTTTTTTTAACACATCATGCAGTTTGTGTTTCTGGGCAGCAAGCTGCAGCACCGCCTGCAGCTCCCTGCCCAGACAAAAGAAAGGGACAAGCTGAACGCCACACAGAAAGCTGCTCAGTGAATGGAGGAGAGAAACAGCTGCATCATGAAAAATGCTGCTGCTGCTTCCTTCACTCAGCACTGTGGCCTCTCTCTCTCTCTCTCTCTCTCTCCCCCTCTCCCTGTCTGCCTGCTCCACAATCGCTCCATCACTTTCTCTTCTCTTCACCCAAAGTCATCCACTTATCTCTCTCTCAGCTCTGTCATTTCACTCACTCCATCCACCTGTTGCCATAACTCCTCCTCATCTCTCCTACACCTGCTCCATCTGTTACTCTCTGTCTTTCTCTCTCTCCCCGTCTTTCTCTGCAGTCTGTTCTTCCTCAGGTCTTTCTGCAGCAGCACTCCTCCTTCTCCTTCTCCTGTGATGCTCCAGCTTGCAGGGATTAGTCCCCCCCCCACCCTGAGCCACTAAGCCCTGTGACCTGGCCTCCACTCATTGGTCACGCCCTCCTCGTCTGTGGACCAAACATGGTCCCTCTTCGTCGCACTACACATGCTGCTGACTCAAAGTACTGCAGACTGAGTACTGTGACAGTCCAGAGCTGCAGGCAGCAAACCATCTCTCAGAATCAGAATATAAACATGCAAAAGAAGCTTTTTGGAGGCTGGTTGTTTTGGGCTGAATCTCCTGCCTTCATGCATTTGCTGAATTGACTTTGTTTGTTTTAATTCTGAGTTTGACTTTACATAAGTGCAGACACAGACACAGGAACCGCTCCAGCTTCACCCCTGGTTCATCTGGAGTCTAGACTCAAAGTTTGTGTGCACACCCTTTCCTGAACAACAGGTACATGAGAAATGTTTTTATAATGGGTTTGCTGTAGGTGTGTCCAGTGTGTTCCCACGCCCCATAGGCAGACTTCAAACCTGCAAAGCTGCTGTGATTTATCATGATAAGATCTGGTTAATCGAGGCTGAAAGGAATCTTTAGCTCAGCTGATTTTGGAAGAACTCTGCAACATTCTGCAGATCAGAGTCAACTTTGCATCTAAAAACTGCAGAGCCCACAAGTTCAACATCAACATACTCAAACTGAACCAAAACACTTGGGACTTTGAAGGACCAGTGGCTTGCAAATCTGGTTAAGTGGAGGGGAATCCAAAATGTATTTATTCATCCATGTTTAAGTTGGCTGGTAAGGGTCCAGTCAAAAATGGTTGGACCAAATACATACTCTGGGGTACAGAAAATTCATTTGATCTTCATCTTTCTTTTCTTAATCCTTTTGTTGACTTGTTCTCATGGCATCAGTGTATCATGAGATTTTGGAATGGTTAAATCCCTAACTTTACAAGTGGATTATTAAGATCTTCAACCATCTTTTCATGTCCTCTGGTTGACTAAAATGTACTTTCTCCTGCAGATCCTTCACAGCATTAATAAGAAGTGTGCTGGCTGAAATCTATTTCTGATCCAATTAACCTCCATGTATGACGAGGGTATGATCAATCACTCTGTCAGGGTCCTCTTAATAATGGTTCAGGGGGAAAACTGCTTCTTACAGCAACATCAGAGCTGTAGTCCATTAAAACCAGACCTCAGGCTGCTCCACATCCCTCCTCCTCCTGTACAGGGTTTCAGGCCATTTATTGTACTGATTCAACACAATCCTGTCTCCATATTTTAGTTTACTGCACATTTCTGTGTCTCCTACATTCATGGTTTGCGGTGAGTCTCAGTTTCACTGTAAATAGTGAAAGGCTCCATTTTATCTTATTTCAGAGGGACAGATCTTCAACTCAGCAACACTTTAAGCCCATTTAGCACACTTTGTAGTCATATCATTATGGACTGGGTCCTAAATATAGCTAACATATAAAGAGAGGGGATATACACAATTCAACAAGTGAGGCTAACGATGTAAATAGATCCATGCAGACACTGAAGCAAACACTGCCGGCTGCACCCAGCTCTCCTGATGATCTGTGTAAGACAGTGTGTACCTGGGTGGCAGGCCCTCCAGAGCTTTGTTCAGGCATTGTGGAGTGTTGTCCGTATCTGCGGTGGATAGAGGGACATCCGGAGTGTCTGCTTTGGCGTCAGCATCGATTTCTCCCTCTGCATCGCCCTGCAGGCCCAGCCTGTCATCACCGTCAGCCTCCTGCAGGAACACACAGAAACACACAGTTATCTAAATACTGATGACGACAGAGAGGGTGGCACAGAGCAGAGTCCACAGGGTGATATATCAGAGACAGTCTGAGAAGCATCCAGGAAAAGATAAAGAACAAACACTTCCATGGATGCAAACGCAGGAAAATGAGGTGATTCAGACAGAGTTCGGAATAAACCGAGCACGGACAGATTAACGACAGCTGAACTAGCCCAGAGTTAAGGCTCTCACCTGGGACAAAGCAAAGGACTACAGAGCTGAAGACTGTCTCCTCTAAACCTGGGTGAGGCTCAAGTTTGTGAGTGAACCTTCAGGTGTGTGTGTGTGTGTGTGTGTGTGTGTGTGTGTGTGTGTGTGTGTGTGTGTGTGTGTGTGTGTGTGTGTGTGTGTGTGTGCAGGGGTGTGGCTCTACAACAAAAACTGATGTCTGCTACTCCAACTTAGATTATCTGCAAAATAGACATCACAACATTTCATGTAAGTGTCAGCTCTCACCAAAGAAAAAGAAGAGAAGAAGAGTCAAAGGAGAATAAAATTGTCTCTTATGGTGGGTGGGGGTGAAAAGTGGGGAGGAGGAGAAAAGAGGGAGAAGCAGAAAAATTAGAAAAAAGACAAAAAGAAGAAAAACTGAGTTTCTGAGCACAGATGTCGTCCTCATGGTCTCTGGTGGTTTTGATGCCTGGCTCAGGGACACCTGGGCAGGACTGTGCAGGTGAAGTGTCTCCTGCCCAGGTATCAGCCTGAAACCTTGCATGAATCTTTAATCTGGTTTGATCCAAGTCAACACAGACACACTGGCTCTACAGTCACATGTATATCCTCTTTGTTCCGTATCCCTTTTGTTCTGAACCATGAGGACACGTTTTCTTGAATGTAACACAGAGATCCCTTTATACCAGCCAGTTAATGCATCTGTTAGCTCCTCCTGGATACCCAGCTATTTATAATGGTGACTGGCTGCGACATCTAGGGTAACTAATAAACCCCACGGCAAAATCCAGGATATCAGGTATGTCAAAACCCTAGCTGCACTATTAAGGAAAACAAGATTGACTAACCCTATGGCATTATCAAGGATATATCCATGAATTTATACTCCTGAATGCACTATCCAGGATACCTAAGTATTGACTTCACAGACATTCAAATGTGGATGAAAAAGTATCAGTTCGATTTTCACAGAGTGAGACACTGTATTGTATTGTTATGAAGTAACCAATGTCATCCTTATTTCTAACTCTGTTCAAATATGATAAAACCTGTTAGAGTTCAAATGCTTCTTTAACAACTCCACTCTCTGACACCTGGAACAAAACCATCCCTGTCACACTGATTTGTAAAAAGTTTCACACCCTCTTTTTCTTGCTGATGATAACCATTGTAAATATATCACATTTCCACAGCAGCTGTGAACTCTGGAGCCATTAACTCAGGGATTTAAGGGAACATGATGAATGTGAGGTCGATGCTCTCAGACGCTCTGACTTCATTAATAAATGAGTAAAGTGACACATTAGAACTTCAGCCCGACACATCTGCTCCTCCTGAGTTTACACCGGAGATGGCCTCTGGTGTAACAAAGCTGCCACTCTGACACTTTTCCTGCCCAAAAGAGGTCCATTTTTGAAAGGCAGTGAAATTCCTCCTCAGATTAAAAGCAGCTGAGAGGCTCTTTGATTCCTCCTGGACGTTTCTCTCCTTTCATGGTTAGTTTTTCTCAAACGTTGCTAAATACGGTCAGGGGCAGCGCCGGGGTTTAACCCCAGAGCAGTTCATTCAGACAGCAGGCCTGTGATCTCTGTCAGACGCTGTGATTAGATGGAAAAGGCTCAAAGTTGGAGCAGGAGGGGGTTCAGACAGGGGTTAGGGGATGAGGATGGAATTCAGTTGAGCGGAGGTGTAACTGAAAATTTCTGCTTAGGAGCAGACTGAAGGACTGCATCATGACAGGAAAAAAAGCAGAAAATAAAACACAAGAACAGCAGCTCTGCTGTCTTAGAGAATGAGTGCCAAATGCTGCATAAGTCAGACACAGGGATCATTTGAACTCCTGCTCCACTGACTATAAAGCCATCCAGGTGGGTCAGCTATCTCTGAGTGAGTTCAAATCTCAAACTTTAAAAGGTGTTTTCCTGGCATTACGAATAAGAGTAAGGATAACTTTTTTGATCCCCGAAGGGAAATTCAAATGTCTGTCATCTCATCTGTCATGGCTCTAAAAGTAATGTACGATTTACAGAAGAGTTGTAAAGTTTGTTGGCTATTAGTACAAAACATCCTCTGAATCTTTTTGTTCTACAGTGAAGAGAGAGGAGCTGTCCACCACCATTGGCCCTTTGGTCCATCGAGGTGTTGTGAAGTGGGTGATCCATGTTCTTTAGAATAGTCTCCACCTTCATCAGTGTAGATCTCTCCACTTCATCCTCCACTGAGTCCAGCTTGAATCCAACCACAGAGTCAGCCTTTTTAATCAGTTTGTTCAGATGTCTTGCATCTTTGTGTTTGATGCTTCCTCCCCAGCAGACTGCAGCGTAGAACAGCACACTTGCCACCACAGACTGATAAAACATCTGCAGCATCTTCTACTAGAGATGCACCGATTAATCGGCCGCCGATTTAAAAAGCCGGTTTTATATCCAACCGGCCCCAACCGGTGACCGGCCGGTCACTGTCGTAACTCTCCGGTTTTCCCCGAGCAAACTGACCCGCATGCGCGGTGCGTATCAGCTCCGAGCAAAACTGCTAAAAATTAGCAAGACTCAGGAGGAAAACATGTCGGTGATTTGACACTGTGTGCCAGAGCGACCCAAAACACGCTCTTTGTAATGCTTGCAAGTCAAAAGTCAGCCGTGGAGGATCAACGCCTAAGACATTTGGAACAACAAACTTAATACGCCACTTGGAAAAGAAGCACCCAGGCTTGTTTAGCAAATATAAGGAATACACTGCCGCTAAGAGGAGGGATGCAGCAGAGTCGCAGCGACCACAACAACCCTCCGCCGTGGCTCCTATGTTTGACATCAATACTGAAAAGTCCAAAGCCACCACTAGGAAAATAATGGAGTTCGTGGCACTGGAGGACCAGCCGTTTAGCGTAGTACAGGATAAAGGCTTCGTAAATCTGATGAAACACCCTACTTGGTAATTTGTACCGTGGACTCAGGTGACATATTTATCTGTTAACTGCACAATCCCATACTTTACCAAAACGGCTAAAACACAGGTTTACTGGTTTTTAATTTTTGTTTATTTATTTAGTTTTTTCTAAGAACCTCAAATATAACAAGTACAAAACATCCAAATGCATGGACACAGATGGAGGGATGGTTGGATACATATGTCCAGAGTGCAGAAAACAGTCTCTGGCTTCACTGTTGAATCACATCATGACCAACATACAACCATTCAAGATCCAGACATGAACAGAGCACTTGGACTCTTTTGCTTTATCCCAGTTTATGTTAGTCATAAACTAAGAGAAAGTTATGATTTCCTGGGGTGGACAACAAAAGCTTTAGAGGGTTAGTAAACACAGCGGAGCCAAAGTCTGTGCTTCAGTCAAACACTAACAGCAGCTCTCTCGAGTGACAAAGGCCAAAGTTAGAGCAAGCCTCCAACCAGAAGAGAGCAGCTCACCCACTGCAGAGGGATGCACTTTACCAAATCTACTCATTTGTTTGCAGGTTTATTTTCTTTCTTTGTTTGATTCCAGGAACACCCCTGCAGATAATCTACCCTCTGTTACACACCTGAGTAAAGACAAAAACAATACAGGAACCTAACATCAAGCAGAGCACCTACAGAGAGGCTGAGATAGTTATCAGCAGCACCTGTGTGAGCCCAGTCTGCAGCAGTAGTGATCAGATCAGTGCAGACAAGAGCCTGCAGAACTCGCTGCTACCTGGTCAGGTTTGTATCTTTCTGAAAAGAAGAAACGATTGGACTTTTCCACAGATCTTCTATGACCTCTTGTTGACAGATGAGGTGGTCTGCAGAAGGAAAACTTCCGTTTACTGCAGTACATTAACTCTCCCTGCAGCGTGGAGCAGGCCTAAGCTTTGATACTCATGTGTTACATGCAGATCTGCAGTATTAGGGTCTAATCTGTGTGAATGTGCTGAAGCCTGTTAATCTAAACGTCAAACACTCTTAATCTTTGCTTCATTTAGTCAAGTATGCTGACTGCTATGCAAGTACCTTGGGGTCAGGCACGCTGTGAGTGTGCGCACTAACTGAGCAGCTCCTGCTATGAGGTCCAACCAGTCTGGGAGATGAGAGTATGCGAGCGTTACAGGTAAACACAAAGGAGCTGCAAACTGAGCAGAACATGTGACATGAGAGCAGCTTCATCCAAAAACTCTCTGTCTACACCAGACGTCTGCATGTTTTCGTTCAAGCAGCGCCACAAAAAACCTGTCAGTCCTTCCCCAAAGCCGACAACCAAAAATAATGGAGCTTAATAAGAAAACAACCAGCCTGTCAACAGGGTTGGAGATGCAACCTTCAGGGGGCTAATGATTTACCTGGATTTACTCAGCTAACATGAGTTCAAAAATATCAACATGGTGGATTTCTGCAAAAATCAAACACTGTGCATATCCAGACAGATGAGCTTCTTTATCATTTAATATCAACTCTTCTTAGCATCAACTTCAAACTCTCACATCTCCAAAAGTTCAGAATACAGCAGGATTGAATAAATATCACAACACCAGGAGAGCAGGTAGGGGAGCAGGAGGAGAAGGAGAGAGGAGACCAGGGACAGGAGCAGGAGGAGGAGAGAGGAGAGCAGGGAGAGGGGCAGGAGGAGGAGAGAGGAGAGCAGGGAGAGGAGCAGGAGAAGGAGCAGGAAAAGAAGAAAGAAGGGCAAAAAGAAGAGTGGGAGGAGAAGAGAGAAGAGCAGGAAAGGAGCAGGAAGAGGAGAGAGGAGACCAGGGAGAGGAGCAGGAGGAGGAGCGGGAGGAGGAGAGTGGAGAGTAGAGAAAGGGGCAGGAGGAGGAGAGCAGGAAGATGAGAGCAGGGAGAGAAGCAGGAGGAGGTGAGATGAGAGCAGGAAGAGGAAAGTAGGAGGAGGAGAGAGAGGAGCAAGAAGAGGTAAGAGGAGGAGAGCAGGTAGACAAGAGCAGGGAGAGAAGCAAGAGGAGAAGAGAGAAGAGCAGGAAGAGGAGCAGGAGGAGTAGAGAGACGAGCTGGGAGAAGAGAAGGAGGAGGTGACAGGAGAGCAGGGAGAGGAGCAGGAGGGGGAGAGAGAAGAGCAGGAAGAGGAGCAGGAGGAGTAGAGTGGGAAGAGGGGAGCAGGGAGAGAAGCAGGAGGAGGTGAGAGGAAAGCAGGAAGAGGAAAGTTTTATTTACGGAAATGTGTGTTAAAAACCCAGAAATTTTCTGGTACCCCGACAATGATAGAATGAACTAGTTGTTCAACTTTGTCTTTAAATTAGGCTGTATTTGGGACAAAGTGCCTAGATAAATCTGTCGGTGGATATGGAGTTGGCAGTGACATGGATGACTACAAATCCTGCCCCTGATAGTGTTTTGCAGATTGTCCACTGTAGTTGCAAGACAACCAAATGTGAGACTGAACGATGTTCTTGTATGTCTGCAAGACTACCTTGTACAGATTTATGTCGGTGCCAAGCATGTGAGAATGCTTCAAAGGAAACTGAAAAAAGAGCTGTATGGGATGATGACTCTGATGAAAGTGATAGTGATGCGTAATATACGCACCATGTCACCATGTGCAATTTGTTTTGTTTAAAGGATTGCTACACCGAGATTTGAGATGTTTATTATGATTTGTCTGCGTTTGTGTTTTGATCTTTATTTTCATATTCTGGAGGAATTGATAAATGTCAGCTGTTTTGACACTGTAATACTTGAATACATGTTTTATACCATATATTGAATTAATTCAGACCTTTTGTGCATTTATTTTTGTCTTGTTACATTTTTTCCATTATTCCAATTTTGGGGGGCATGGTAGCAATTTGATTGACTTTCAGCCATTTATGGCCATGATGTGCTGTTTATATTTTATTGCTTTTATTACACAGTAGGTTGTGTCATTTTTATGTATGAAACATAAGCTAAACATAGCTAAATTTACTGTATATATTTCATTGTGCTGGGTGCAAATCACTTGAGTTGAGACGTTTTCTTCAAGAAATTTGCTACATTTCATAATCTGAATTCACTTATGCGTATACTAAGGCACCAATAACTGTTTCAGGTGTTAGGTAGATGTATTTATGATATTTGAGAAAGATTTTGTCTTGCCAGAATCAACATAGCAGTTTCTACAAGCAAAAACAGCAGCACCATATAATTGTTTTTTGGGTTACTCACTTCTGGCTGGTGACAAAAGTCGGACAGATAGTCTGAGTAGATATTTTAACCCAAAGTCCAGAATGGTATTGTCTATGCAAAAATGCATTGAACAAGTAGCACCAGCGTAGTTGAACAAAATTCACTTTCTAGGCACTTTTTCCGTTGTCCCAATACAGCCTATGACCTCGAGCGAAGTTTCTTTCGTGGAGTTTCAGATGCCGTGGACGTGGATGCATCGGTGATGCTGGCTGAAGGGGTTTGACTGACCCGCGGCTGCATCACGTTCTTGTTTCTCAAACGCCTTTTGCAAATAAATCGCTGGTAGCACGTCATGTGAAACCCAGCGTCATCAGGAACATTGTCAAAGTCTATATCAACGCAATGTTTTTAAGTTTCTGCATCTTCAAATCATTCATTCACTGTTTTTCATCCTTAAAGTGCATTATTGTCTTAAGTGTGCATGCTCTTATTTCATTTTCCTTCTCTGGTTCGTGGTTTGTTCATGTATACACAAATCCACAATACGAAGAAGAAGAATATTTGATATGATGCCATCCAGACATTAGGGATTTGATTTTGTATTCAGACATGCTCCATCTAATTCCACCTAAGTATATAATGACTTTTTAGACCTTAAATTTTGAAAATCCAAGTTAAGACTTTCTATGACTCTTCAAGGATCCATGCTAATCCTGTTTGATGTGGCTGAAACAGACTCCTGACAGAGATTAGTACCATCTGGCAAACTGGCATTATACTGTCTGTTAGGTTAGGATGTTCACTATGCCACAGTCGTCACCCATGTCATTTAGTGAGCTACACTCTTCTGCATGACAACAATAGTTTGACTGCATGCTGTCGGCTGCAGCGTCTGACTTTGTTTAGCTTTATTAAATGTCTTGTGTGCTTCTTCGAGACACAGACAGATAATCCACTGAATATTCATCATCAGGAGATGTCAAACAAAAACATCCCAAATATATGTTCATATCTCCACAGCTGCAGAGCTTATGCTGCCCTTTCTGAGTTGGAGGTTAAAACACAGACTCACAGAGGTTATATGGATGCAGACTCTCTTGGTGTGAAGCTGCACAGACTCTGCTGTCAAGGATCTTTCTGAGCAGGATCAGCAGAGCATTAAACCAACTGCTGCTGCCATCGCCACCGGGGCCGCCGCTGCTGCTGCTGGACATCCAGCCGGTCAGCAGACAGCCCACCAAGGTCAGCTGTCATGTGGAGTCTCAAGCAGCCGCTGACTGTCCAGCTACATGGCGCAGCATGGAGGAGGATCTCGACACACACTGCTGAGTTAGTGTGAGTAATTAATGATGGCGACCGTTGGCCTGGAGATAAGTCAGGGAGGCTGTAAACGGGTGTGTGTCTGTCTGTGTGGGACGTCTTAGCAGTGTTTGATGTATGTGTCTTTTTTTTTTTTAACCACACACTGCTTTAGCTACGCCTCATGTTTGGGTGTTTCTGCACACTCTGACACAACAGAGTGATTCTCTAACCTCAGACACAAATACACTCATAACACTCTGCTCTGAATGTCTTCTCATTCCTAAACCTAATTCCTCAACCTAAACACAAACATGCCTCTAACAGCCAACTGTTCAGACCAGCCCATGTAGAAACGTAGGAGTTCATGTCCAAAGAGAGGTGACCTGGACCCTTCCAGGTCCCTCATTTATGTTTGTGGTGAGTCTCAGTTTGACTGTAAACACGAGTTCAAGCAGACGCTTCACTTCAGCTTCCTTTAGCAGTATGTTCCTTCATTAAATTTCACTCTGGTCTAGTGTCAGTTCAGCAAGAGAAGAGAAGTTGATTTAAAGAGGAACCAACAACTGAGCCGGCTGCACTTGAACCTGGACAGACCCCAGTGATGTGGAAACTAAAACGTCAAAGAGGAGCAGGGTGTGTGAAGGTCAATGAGGATTACAAATGAAGAAGACACATTCGGTGTCAAGCAGCAGAAAGTTAAAGATTTCTCTTGAATTAATGCCAAAGGGTTTTAAATGGGAACATAGAGCCGATAAATGTGTCACTATGAAACTTTGATCTGAGCCTCGGAAGTTTTCTTTACTTCTCTCAATGTAAACACGGCTCACCGCTCAGCCCCCATAATGTCCCTACTTGAATCAGTCCAGTCATGTTTCTCATGACTCCTTGTCATGTGATCAAGGGAAGGGGGGTCCTCAACAGCCAGCAAAATGCAGACTCAATGGAGGAGGTGCCGATAACAAAATGTGTCTAATGGTGGCTAGCAAGGTACTGAGTGTCCAAAAGGCCAAATAACAAATGCATTTGTGTGTGTGTGTGTGTGTGTGTGTGTGTGTGTGTGTGTGTGTGTGTGTGTGTGTGTGTGTGTGTGTGTGTGTGTGTGTGTGTGTGTGTGTGTTTCAGTCTTCTGTTTTTAGTCTGTGAGTGTCCAGTGAACTAAAACTGTCAGTCAGTCTCTGGATGTTGCACAAAGAGGACCAACATGATGCAACCCAACCATTTGACAGTTAACAGCATCCAGTTTAGATCCAGTTGCTCAACAATCAGGACCAGAGTCTGAAGTTTAGAGGGTCTGAGGATGCAGAAAAACACTCAAGGAGACTGCATGTCTTTAGAAACCAGCAGTTTGAGCTTTTCTGCCTTCAGCTTTGATTCAACCAGACCCCTATAATGACCTGCAGCAGCTTTATTGTCCTTCAGTGTTTGCAAAGAAACACCTCCCTTCACAGAGGTGTTGTAACTTCAAAAACTCCCCTGGCTGAATTACACACTGTAGGTCCTTCATGACGCAAGCTCCCCATCCTCAAACAACTTCACTGACTCTGTCACAGTCTACTGAGCGTTGTTCTGACATCAGCAGGGCTTCACATACATTTCACAATGCCATTTTATTCGACAGATGTCATATATCTGAGTCGCACATCACCAGAGATATCTTAATAATATCAAACTGTTGTTTAACATGATACTGGTGTTGTATTTTGGTCATCAGCTGATCTTCAGATCATCAGATGTTTAGAAATTGTGATTGGTCAACGCCTATAAAATGACACCACCAATGACAATGTGCAGAGAAACATGCTTTAATTCCTTGTTCCTTGTTTGGAAATGCTGGTCAATGTGAGGGCTCAGAGGTAAACTTCAGTGTGTCAGACATGTAGCAGCAGCGGGGGGGGGGGTTTATAATCTGTGGGCGTGGTTGGGGTTGTTGCTCAATGACCTCTGCATGTATTAGACAGGCTGGTGGAGGTGCTATGAGGGGCCGGCTCTGTCTGACCTTTGAAACAAAGAGGAAGGACTAAGAGACATGAGTGGATGTAAACTGTCTGCACAAGTGTTAAGATCTGTGTTTACACTCGGAGGGAAAACCTCCATGGAGTCCATAAACCAGGAAGCATCTCTCCGAACAAACACACAGATCAAAACTTTCATAAGGGGATTCATTGCCTCTGCAGCATTTCAAAATACAGTCACACCTTGCAGATGCATGCTGGGACTAATCTGACAGAGGGTCGTCAACATGTGTGCCAATTAAACAGCAGTGAACCAATCAAATATCAAAGGTAGTATTTTATGCTGACTGTTATCCTCTCAGCATTCTTACTGACGCTGATGCTGCAGCTGATGATAACTGTGGTCAAAGAAACCTGTGGACTGCAGCATCTCCTCCATCCATGTCCATCCATTCACCTTCATGAACTTCAGTAAGCTATGGGCTGCTACGACAACTGTTTTTCATGACAGAGATGTTGATTTCAAAAGTGCTGCTGAGAAATCTAACTGCAGACCTAATCACCATCTGAGGATGTGCACATCATTAGGCTGCCAGTTGCATCTGTGTCTCTAATTGGCTGGAGTCTGTTTACTCCAATGAGCTGCTTTGAATGTTTGTGAGCATGTGCAGCATGTTTGCATAGTCACATGACCACCCAGCTCAAGAGTGCAGATTGACCAATATAGACACCAGCAAGCAAAAGCATGAAAAAGATGCAATATCTGCTACACAGGATTATTTTGGATTCAGGTGCAGTGACATTGAAGAGGGAGACAGCGCTTAAACTGCAAAATTATCGCCACAGAGTCAGGAAAGTTTGATGAATTCACCTGAGTGAAGAAATACGCCTGAAGTTTGCAGTGACAGTGGTTAGTCTTTGCACTTTTGAAGAAATGCATTGAATTTTGATTGGTAAGGACACTGCTGAGAGTGCTGTCCATTATAAATTGAATCTCACTAAATCATCATGCAGCCCTGGATGTTAAATAAAGTTAAGTGAATGTGGTTTGAGAGAAAGTTTGTGGACACCTTAAAAACAAAAAAGTACACCTGTCCTGACTCTTAATTTACTTTCATCCCAAAGCATTACCAAAGAGTGTGGACTCTCACAGATTATTAAACACAGGAAACACAGAAGGATCTGCAATTTTGCTGTCTGAGAAGAAAAAATCTCAATAATGAAAAAATGTTCTGCTCTCTTCTCAGGGGTCAGATCAGGAAGACTGACTGCAAAAGAGCCCGAAACTTGTTGAAGTTGTTTGTTAGCAACAGAGCCTGAGCTGAGAACAAAACACAGCTTTTTTAGAGAGTGGACGTGTTCGACCTGCCATCAGTGCCACTGAGCAACAAATCAGCAGTTAGCTGCCTCCATATGATCTGTTTTTTTTATGGAGCCCAGTGTGAAAGAAAGACATTGAAGCTGCACAGTAAGAGGGGTTTGAACAATCCACTGATCCTGCAGCATTAACAAGCATGTGCAGAAGTTGCTGGTTCAACTCCAGGCCACAACCCTCTGCTGCATGTGTAACTGTTAAAGCTAGCTCACTAGCAGCTGCTGCTTCTTCTTCATCTCCTCTCTGATGATGTGTGGCAACAAGTGTAAAAGACCCCTTCACTGTAGTCAGGGAAACATCTTACTTTAGGGTTTGAGGATGTTAAATAATTTTGTCTGAGAGTGAAAGAGCATTTTGAACCACAGAAGGTTCCCTTTTCAGAAGATAGAACAATCCAGTTTGAAGGCTGGGCTTTAATGTCTTCATGTATTTCTTAACTTTGTGGTCTTGAGAGTAAAAAAGGAAGCAGCAGAAAACACTAAAATAAAATGGTTAAATAATGTGCTGTGTTCACCTGAGCCACTTATCATCTATCACACTCTCTCACCTTTTCTGGAGTTGTGATTTACCTGTTCAAACCTAGATATACAGCTACATATTCATCTGTAGCTCTCTGACCTGATTATAGCAGCTTATGTCCATTTAACCAGGGATGCGTGAACCACTGAGACATGCCTAACTATGATGAGTCAATATTTTACTGGTTTACTGAACTCTGCTGGTTTAGCTATTCAGAGCAAAGTATTTAAACTATTTCAGTTATGCAACACCCACACTGCTTCTGCTTTATATTCTGGTAGTTCAAATGCAAAAGAGAGGTTGAAAAAACACCACAAACAGGCTTTTTTAGAACTCTAAAAGTCACTATGTAAAGCTTCCCAACGTTCACCTGAGGCCTCCAGCCTTTCACCTGTCCTACTGCGACCATTCACCTGCTCCAATCCGGCTCTACCCCTGACACAGAATAACCTGCCTTAACAGTTCTTCGTGTGTTAACTGACAGCAAATGGAAATATCGTGACATTCCCAGCCGCGCTGAGTCCCTAAACGCCTCAGCGAACAGTGCGTTTCCGTGGCCGTGTTGATGTTGCAGCAGGATTACAGCAGCTAACTAACTAGCCCCCCCGCCCCCCCTCCCGCTTAACCTGACAGACCCGCGGCTCCCACAGCCAGTCGAACCGGTCCTCAGGCTGACGTTTTCGGCGTCAGACCGGTCAATGTGGGCCTGTTTCTGCTCGCCTTACTTTGTCGCTGATATTGTCGGTGCTGTCAGGGTCTCCTCCGCCTCCACCTCGCTTCCTCAGCTCCGTCATGTTCGCTTGGTTCGCTGGCGGGACGTTAATGTGTCACATAAGCCGACTCTTGGTGCTGGGGGGGAGGTAGGGAGAGCGGGGATCAGATCCGGGTTTTTCTCCTGTTTAAGTCCGGGATATTTTAACCGGGTCGGACGCCGAAGCTGACTCTGTGAAGGTCAGCTCTCCTGAAAGTCAGCCGGTGAGTAGACAGCAGCGAGAAAACTGCGTGTGTTTGTTTATCACCGCAATCCCCGTCCCTCCTGCTCCCCTCCTAATCTCGTCAAGGTAGAAAAATCAAGCACTTACCATATCCGGTGCAGACTTTCAGAGTAAAACAACTCGTAATGTGACACTAAATGATGTTTGCTTGTATTTATCATTTTCTTTAACGTGGTGTTTTGTGTGTTCGTGTTCTGTGAAAATCCCAAACTTAGTTTTGCAGTTAGCTAAGTCAATTTAAGAAAAACATTTTAAAAAATTCGTATTGATGATTTAAAACTTTTACATTTTTAAATTCCATGAAACCAATTTTACTGTTGTACTTCAATACTTAACTAATTTGCATAAAGGACTCACATATTTTATACACTGTTTCTTCTCTGTAGCATTGCTGTTTATTTTTCACTAACTGCATCTAAGTAGACTGAAGTTAAGTAGGTAATTCTACTACATCTAATTTAAACAAAGTAAACATTGAAGACTACTTAAGGTCGTAGGTCTACTTAACTGTTGTTTTTAATCCTTACATTATGTCGTAATACTAGGCTTAACATTTTACCATATTCATTTGACTGTTTTGATGCCCAGAAAAATGTTCCCCCTTCCCTGGAGAGCAGATGAAATGGAGTCCATTATTTCCAGAAAGAATGTTGGCTTTTATTTGACACTCTGGGTACAAATCTTTTTATCAACAGTGTGCACCTCATGCTTCTATCTGGTTTCCTCTTCACATGGTTCAGTTTTAACCTCATTTGCAGATGCAGCAATGAATTGTGTTCACAGTGATCTTGAGCCCATGCAGTGCTTTCCACTCCAAAGTCCTGTCTGTTTTAATGCAATGCTGCCCGAGGGCCTGAAGATCAGGACCATCCAGTCTTGGTTTTGGTCCTTGTCCCTTTAGTACAGGGATTTCTCCAGATTCTCAGAATCTTTAAATGATATTATGTACTGTAGATGATAAAATCCACTCATTTTTTCACATTTGACACTCAGGAACATTGTTCTGAAACTGTTGAACTTTTAGCTCATGCAGTCTCTCACAGAGTGGCGATCCTCCCCCCATCTTGCCTTCAGTGGGACATTCACAGCCTCTCTGTGAATGTCCTTTTTATACATAGTATAGTATAGTATAGGATAGTATTGTACAGTTGACAGCATCTTAATCTTGAGACTGAGGCTCAAGTAACTTTTTATAGCACATTTATTTTTTAGTCCAACCTCAGCAATTTCCGGTTTTAACCTCGCTAACTTCACATAGGTCTACTGCTGCGGTAAAGACACCGCCCCCCCCCCCCCCCCCCCCCCCCCCATGATTTTAAATCAGTCATAGTTGATTCATTAAACTTTTGTTGTATCAAACTATCAAAGTTACACAGCAGTTGGTTCCACTGATGTGTCTCCATTTGAATAACAAAAACATAACAGACAACTATCATTTAAATCCTTCAATCAAATGGAGAACAAACAGCCAAAGCTCTGCACGCACAGTCTGAAAATATAGCTGAAGACTATTTATCGCACTCAACCACAGATGATGTAGTACCAACAGAGGCATATACTCCTGAAGATAGATTTGTACAGAGCAGACCTTGATCATGACATATTTGCTGGTATTTCTACGTCAAAATAAGAATAGAAATAAAAAGAAGACAACAGAAAATAGTAATTCTCCTTTGACACGGCTTCATCATATAGGCTTTTAAAACACACTTACAAAAACACATTCACACACAGCCTATTTGCTGCTGTTTAGAACAGTTCTTGCAGAGGGGATAAAGGATTTCTTGTGAGTGTTGTTCTGGGCCAGTGGGGTTTTGTATTATGTGCCTGATGGCAGCAGGATGAAGGAGTGGTACAGGGGTTGGGAGGGGTCCTCAGTGATGAGGGTGGCTTTTCTCACCACTGAGCATCTGTACAGTTCAGTTAGAGGGAGTTGGGCTTTTCTGGTTATTTTTCTGATTTATCATGCAAGAAAGTTAATATTCAGTCACTATAACAAAAGTTGTTGATATTCTGTGATAAATAAAAGCACCTAAAGCAATTAAAAGAAAAAAAGACAAAAGTGCTGCCCATGGGTTCAAATTAGATCTATGATGCACTCTTTTGCCTCTAGAGGGCGACATGACACCATAATATGTAGCAAAGAAGTCAGGAGAGCACTCTCCCTTTAATTCGTGCATTTTTTAATTTTATAGCTTTTTGCAGCAGAGTAACAACTTGGTTAGGAATAAGGGTGTTAATTCATTATCGTGCAATACTAATTGACAAGTTTATCTACAACGATTTAAGAAAACAGTCTGCGGGCTGAAAGACATGATGTGCAATCCAAAATACCCAAGAATCTCTTAGTATGGTGTGTAATCTCAAAGACCTCATGAGTGCATCACTTTCTCACTCTTTCTTCTCATGTCTTGTCTTTTTATTATATAATTATCTGCACAGGCTTCAGTGAGCATGCTTGTGGGGTAAAGTGTGTAAGCATGCTGGTATAATTTCCCAAAAAATGTGTTTAAAATGTATTTAACAACAAAACGAGAGAACAGTTTGCACCCAGGATATGTCAGGCAGTGTCAGTCTGCTTCAAAATCTTTATAAGAAAAAGTAGAGTAGAGCGTTTGAGGACATTTTGGCACATTTGAGATCAAAAGAAGACAAAAATGACCTAGCTCCATGCAGGACATCTTATTGCACACTTTGTTCTCTGGGGAGCGCAAAACCTACAAAAACCTGCAGATTCTCACAGCTGCTTTAAGGTGAATATCTGCAGGTTTTATATTAATGATATTCTGTGAAATATTTTTGTTGTGATAGTTTATTTTTGGACCTGTCAGCACCAGAGGAGTATCCACACAGACCCATAAGACTCTGAAAGTCAAAGGGAAGGCGGTCATTAAAAGGTATCTCATCAATAAAAGTGATCAAACCGTTGATTAGATCTTTATTTCATCCAGTGGGAGGAGATTTGAATTCATCAACCTTTATTAGTTACTGTTTGGAGGGACGATGAGAGCCTGATACTCTGAAGGTTGCTGATATACAGAGATATTTTGGAGGACAGAGTTACCTGATACGTTTCTATGTTATCAGTGTGTGTTCTTTTACTTGTTAATAATCCTGAATCTTATCCAACATTATCTGCTCCCATTAAGTAATATGTTGTAAAATCAGCCTGAGCAGCAGGGAGGCAGTAAATCACAGAAACAGGTTAAATCTGACTCTTCAGATTGGCCTTTTATCAGATTCTAACACAGTAAAGCTCCATTCATAAATCTGCACACAGCCTGGTCTCAAAGCAAGTTTCAGACAACGAAGACTGGTATCAGCCTGTCAGCCTGCACATCATGCTTCCTCCCTCTGCCAGCAGATGCACGAACATATCTACATATCAAAGCATGAAATTATAGGGGTTTTGTCTCTTCCTGTGTTCAGTAAAAAGAAAAGAAAAAAGTTTGTACACATCAAACTTTACTGAGCTATGAGTTAAATAAGCAAACAGGGATTAAAGCATATCTCAAAATAGACCTAAATGTGAAAAAGTCACACAGTTTATGCTCCTTTAAGGATTTCTGTGTTTTCTATTAAATTGACGAAGCTCTGTGTTAGATAGGTAATGATCAGGCACTAACAGGTACTCAGAGACAGCCATGACCATGAAAGGTGGTAAAAAGATCATCTTATATAATAGGAGTCCACAAGGGGAACCTCAACACTGACCAGGCTAAGTGTTGGATAATAAGAACTCAGGTGATGAAGTAGTTCTTTAAAACAGTCCGTGACTCTTATTTAAAAGAAAAATGTATGTAAGTAAATGTAAACACAAAAAAATTCTGTAAAGGGAACCTGAAAAGATAACAAAAAAAAAAAAAAGTCAGGCAGTAAGGGGTCCATGAAAACTGCAGAAATGCTAAAAAAGAAAGAAAGAAAGAAAGATTAACAATGATTGAAGTTGGGAGAACATGGTCAGGGTACCTTCAAACGGACCAAGGAGCACATCTAAATGACACTTCAAAGTAACCCTGAACCAGTACCTCAAAAACAGACAGAATGCTGGAGCTTACAGTTTGTCTAACCCTGCAACCATTTCTGTGCTAAACTGCACCAAGCTAGGCCAACTAACTCAAACCCTAAGCCAGCTGACATGAGGTTGTATTTGCAGCACTTAGATGATGCCGTCAAACTTCTGAAATTTATCTTAAATTCAGTCTCTGACCTGAAATCTGCAGAACTATTATCTTTATCACTGAGCCAAAATGTATCATACTATTACAGAATTCTTGCTTTTTTTCCCAAAGAAAGGAATAGACAGTTTTTCAGAAAAGCAGTTTGTTTAAAAAAATTTGAGCTGATTTGGGTCAAAAGGAAAAAGGATTAGTCGTACAGTCTCAGTGTGGCTGGATAGTGTGAGACAGAGTAAAGGTGTAACATCTGTTTTATGGTTCAGTCATAAACCACCTTATAAAAACCTGCGGAAGACTGAGTGAGGACTCAGTAGGGAGCGACTGTCAGGGTGAGTAACCATCAGTCTTTTTACCAGGATCTAGCGCCAATCTAATCTTTACAAATCCGCATGTTTGATTCTGTTATCATGGAGATTTTTTTTATGATCTGTCAGCCTGACTTGCTGGAGAAAGATTTAAGGATGTAAGGCTGTAATGTATTTAAATGTGAAAAAAGTAATGGTTCAATAACTGAACAAAGAAGACTTTCTTGAACTGAATGTTTGCTGAGGTTAAAAGGTTTTTCTCAGCCCAAACTGAGACTATTCTGTATTTTTTCCCCCAGATGAAGCTGTCTGTGTTGTTGCTGTCAGCTCTGCTGGCTCTGTCCTCAGCCAGTCTGAAGGACATCATGAAGAAAAGTGCACAGCACAGAAAAGGTGAAGATTTCAGTAGGTTTTTGTGTGGTGATTGGATAAAACTGGTCACTCTTGATGGTTTGATGAAGCAGTATTTTCCTCCACAGCTCCCTTGCTGAACCCTGAGCTGGAGGACCTGGTCCCTGAACCTACGGGTAACCATGTGGTGTGGGCTCCTCTGGCCCCTGCAGACCTGGAGCAGCAGGACAGTCTTCCGGACTCCCTCTTGTTTGGTGATAACGTAAACCTGGAGTGGCTGAGCTGGGATGGTGCTCTGCCAAATGGAGTTGTCGCTATTTACAATGGTTACACGGAGCGCACTGACTATGTCTGCAAGTACAAGTGTGAGGCTGGCTTCTACAACCCCAGCCTGGGTCCCTACTGCCGCTACCCTTACGGAGACCGCGAGTACTATGCCCCTGAGTTCGAGATCCTGGCCAACAAGGATAACTTTGAGTTCCTGGAGTGGAAGGAGGACTCTTACGGTTCAGTCCCCAAACACGCGGTCAGGACCTGCCCAGGTGTCGGCATCTATGTGGGCAAGAACAAGTATGGCCTGGGGAAGGTCGTCTCCCAGTTTGAGGCCTTTTTCCTGCCCTGGGAGGGGGATGAGTACTGGTACAAGAAATACCAGGTCCTGAGCATCAACAGGGATGCTTACACCCAGCACATCTCTGACGTTAAGTACATCATCGATGAGGTCGCCATCTTCCAGTATCCTCCTGAGACCATGCGCATCTCTGGGGTCACCAACAACGAATGCCAAACTGTGTCCAAGACCGTGACCATCTCAAAAACCACAGAGGTGGAGACAACCTGGAACATCGGTAGAGCCACCATGTTGGGGATCGCCGGCAGCATCACAGCAAAAATCCCCTTCATCGGCGAGGGAGGTGTGGAGCTGAGTGGTGAGAAGACGCTGCAGTTCTCCAGAGGAACCACAGTGACGGAAGCCCTGAGCCACTCTGTGTCTGTGGAGCTCACTGTCCCTGCAAACCACTATTGCCGAGTCCGCATGGAGGGGCGCAAGGTAAAAGCTGACATCCCATACACAGCCCGCCTCAGCCGCACATACCGCAATGGAGAGACCCAGTGGACCACCATCACTGGGAAGTACGATGGAGTCCAGATCGGAGAAGTCCGGGCCGTCGTGGACCGCTGTGAGCCAGTGGCTGACGCCCAGCCGTGTCAATGAAAGACTGACAGGAAACACTCCAAAACCAAACACCAACATCTGATGTGTGTGAGATTAAAAACTAACATGTCTTAATAAAAATATGACAAAAGACTGAGTTTGCTGCTGTCTGCAAAAAAGTTCAAACAAAGAAAATTAACTTAAAAATTCAAAACATGTAATCTGTTTTTTTATTTAGTTCTATTTTCTGTCACTCCAACATTATACAGTACAATAAACTGCTGATTAACTACAGCATGAAACATCCAAACACTCTGTTATATTCAATATTGGCTGTCCTGGAAAACAGCTTTAGGTTAATTTTTTTTCCAGTGGGCATCTTTCAATCAGAAAACTTTTTACTTTGACCAAAATGCAAAATCACAGACACTTAATAACCACTGAAATCAGGCAGAGACAGGCTCCATGAAAAACATAACATAGATGCAAATTATTACTACATTGCTGTCCTAAAATGGAGTTATATTAGAAATTTCTGCAAATTACCTTAACAAGAGTTTGAGTGTAAATAATGATGATAATTATAATTTATATAGCATTTTTTAAAAACGAAGTTAGAGAGTACTTTACTTTAAAAAAAATAAAAAATATGATTAAAATAAAGGAGTCAGTAGAGTTTACAACAGGACAACACAAAACACAAAACGGTCAATTGAAAAAGTAGGATATAAGTCAAACCTTTTGAAAGTTGATGAAATAAGCTCACATAAAACTCACATAAAACAGTTAAACTTGGCTCAAATTCAGTTAAAGCTCAGACCTTTTAAAAAAGTACGAATAAAAGATTTTTTTTTAGGTGAAAGAAAAACTTTTCAAACATTGAATGAACATTTTATAAAATGTGAATATTGTTAAAGTAGGACTGGAGAAACACAGTTATAATGGATGAGAATAAAACTTAAAGCTACTCCATATGAATCAAAACTTCAGGCCCGTTTCTGAGCTTCTTTTGATTGTAAATCCTGAATTAAGTGGTTTTTAATCGGTTTTAGACATTTGTAATTTATCATGACATACAGTGCATTCGGAAAGTATTCATACCACTTCACTTTTTCCACATTTTGTTATGTTACAGCCTTATTCCAAAATGGATTAAATTTCTTTTTTCCCTCAAAAATTCTACACAAAATACCCCATAATGACAAAGCGAAAAACTTTTTTTAGAACATTTTGCAAATTTATTAAAAATAAGACACTCAAATGTTGCATATACGTAAGTATTCACACCCTTTACTCAATACTTGGTCGAAGCACCTTTGGCAGCGATTATAGCCTCCAGTCTTCTTGTGTATGATGATTTGGGGAGTTTTTCCCATTCTTCCTTGCACATCCTCTCAAGCTCAGTGAGGTATAGCAAAGGGTGTGAATACTTATGTATATGCAACTATTGAGTGTCTTATTTTTAATAAATTTGCAAAATGTTCTAAAAAATTTTTTTTTCGCTTTGTCATTATGGGGTATTTTGTGTGGAATTTTTGAGAGAAAAAACGAATTTAAACAAACTTAGCTATTCTGGTACTTTTGGACCTGCATTTGACTCAACATCCTCTTGCTATGGTTAGGGTGTTATGTCAGCATTTAAGGGAGTGCTCTCAGGTGGTCCCAAGTCCTACCTAAGGGATAGAAACTTCTCTGTCCTCATTGTAGGTCAAGGGTCAGTTTTGGGCCCAGTCTGGTTTTCCCTGTATATGATGTTTTATTTCACTTCTATAATGATAATGCTCAGATTGCCTCTGAGATTAAAAACTAAAGATTCACTGCACCCTCCTTCAATTGACTTAGAGACATGGCATTTCTAAATTACTTGCATTTCTAAAATTTTGTCTTGACTGATGAAATTCTGTCAACACAGAGCAGTCAACTATTCAGGAAATATACTATTGCCTGCAGCTCAAAACACCACGCCCGCCTTCTAAGTGGGAAAAAATTGTGATCCCACATCTTACTGTCTCTGCTGGCTTCCTGTCTGTCCTGTATGATTTTAAATAATTGTTGTGGACTTTTAAAGTCCTTAAAGTCCCACTCCGATCATTTTTTTTTTTACTACTCAAAGTGTTCTCAGTGGTCTTTAAATTGTGATTATTAAGTTTTTACCAAAAATTGTGTTTCCTGTGTCATTTTCGAGGGCTTTTCTTCTGCAGATAGTGCAGCGGCCAAGTACAAATTTTAGCCAGAATCGTTCAGTTGGTGAAACAAGCATAAAAATTGCATGGACATTCTCCATGGGTCACTTGACCAGAAAAGTGTCCCAGCCATTTGAAATTTCGTGATGGTAGCCATTTTTCAAGATGGCCACCACCTAAGTGGAAAAATTAGCTGATGTACTTGATGGCCCAATCCCAAACCACCCCCCACACACTCGCCCTATACACTCTCCCTCCGTTTGTGCGTTCCCGCGGAGGCTTCGCCATATTGAAGGCCGTCCCAAACCACAGAGTGCCGAATATATGAATATATTAAAAAAAAAAAAACAAGAAAAACATGATTTTCATCAGAGTTGGTCTTTAATGGATCAGCACCACTTTATTCACCTTTTTCATGGACAGAGCACTGAGGTCGATTGATCTCCTCCTGCCTCTTCCACTGGTTAATGTTTTCAATCATTGTTGAGGACCTTATTTCCTCTTTGGCCTTCCCTTTGAGATGAGAACATTGTCAACTTGATTTGACTATCTTTTGGTTTTTTGAACACCAACCCCAACTGAATCACTGCCTGTCTAAGAGGACTCATTGCATACGTCTGAATAAACTCTGAACACAGCATCAAGTTCTTTAAAGGCGTCCACAATCAGTACAGCAGCTGAAGGCAGTGACAGTGCATTCTGTGAATGACCTTTACACACACGGCGACAGTGTCGTCCTCATTCAGACCTAAATAAATAAATTGATAATAACTTACAGTCTCAAGGGCACACTCACAGATGGCCATGACATCAGCGATTCTCAATGATAGGGCTGTGCGTACAGAACAATGTCTGTGTTGAGGCGCCTCTCCTCTGGTTTAATCTTGGCAGTCTGCGATGTTACGTAATGAAGAGCGTCCTAATCAATGACCCAGTATTCCTGTGGATCTAATCGCTTTGTTCCCAGCCCCAGCTTATCTGAACTTACAGTATCTCTTCATCAATGGAGACAGAGCGCCACGGCACTTTGGACATCATGCCATCCTCTTTGGCCTGCAGATACATGATGTTAAAGCCCAGCAAATTTCTTTATGGAGCACTTTTAACAGACTCATCAAAGAGTCGGTCCTTGGGGGGAGGAGGGGGAGAGATGTTTGGTAAGAGGGGATCAATAAACAATCCTGTTTTCATTATCAGCAAGAAAAGAAATTTTACACTCCTCCAAGGCTGCAGGTAGATCTCTAAGTCAAGGACAGAGTCTTTGAACACAAAAGGATGACCCTGACCCAAGTATTACAGCTGACTCTGGTTTGGCAGGAAGATAGCAGACAAGACAAAGGCTTTCAGGGTTAATGGGAGACCAGCCGAGGCTGGACTGATCCGCAGACACTCGTTTATAAGGCACATACTTTCAGCTCACCTACGTTTAAACTCAGGCTAGATTATGTTAGGGAGGTGTTCTGACTGACAGGTTTACATCCATCCGTCCGTCCATCTGTCTGTCCATCCTCTTTTCAGTTCTTTCCTATTCAGTCACAAACTATACTAAAACAAAGTAAACCATACAAACCACATGATACAGTTCAGGACAGGATACAGTTCCTTACAAAACCAAACAATATCACATGATTTAGATATGATAGGGATATGATACAATAAGCTATTTCATGCATGAATACAGATCAATACAACATATAAGGATTTGATACTCTATAATTAAGTCGTATTTTTTACACATCTATGCATGGTAGTGCACTACGATTTTATATGATACAGTAGGAAAAGATATAGTGCAACAGATTTTGACAGAAAACAATTTAATTAATAATGAATAATTTGGATGATACGATAAGATATGATATGTATGGTATGATGTTTTATGATATGACCTAAATTACATGACATGGCATGATATGACATGAAATACATGATTTGATGTGAAATGAAATAACATACATGACAGCATGATGTGGTGTATGAATTTACATAAAACCATTAAGTGTGATATTTTGTAATATAATACACTGGAATTTTACTGAGACATAATTATATGAAATGGCAAGACAGAATAGATTAATTCTACAAAATGCACCTCTCTTAAAAAAACATAATTGATTGTGATAAAGATCAATTCATCAATGGTAAGGTGCTATATGTTTTGATGTGATTGTTTGACTATTTAATATGAATTTTACACTATGATAACATGCCATTATACACAACACAAGTATTGATAAGATACCACAATGATATGTTGTGACAAGAAACAAGATACAATATTTGATTAAAAAAAAACCATTAAACAATACTATTCTATATGATACAATATGATACAGTAATTTTATGACATGTTTAAAAACAGTACAGTTCAAAACTGATGATGCAGATGAAATACAGTAAGATACCTTGTGATGTGATACATTTGCTTTGGCAGGTATGGAATAACACTAAAATACAGAAAGCTATGATGTGAAGGTATGTAACACGTTTTGACTTAAACTGCAAACATATCCAGCCGCCTCTATCATAATATTAATAAATGATATCAACACATGTGATCAGGTCTGAAGCAGCAGGTGAGTGAAAACACGGGTTAACAGGTGAGCAGCTCTCTTAGGTTTATTGCATGTAATAACAGTGTGAAGAGGTTTTAAAGGTGAGGGCAGACTGCAGCCAGCGTCACTGCAGGAGGAACCTGTCAAGGTAAAAGGGCCACTCTGTGTCTGAATGAAGGGCTGGTGTTTACTCATGTTCTGATTTATTTCTGCAACATGTCACTGATTCTCTCCTATTGTTTATGGAATTATGATCAACCTGAACCAATGATAAATAGGTGTGTAATTTTTGATTTTCAAACTTCTTTTATCTTCAAAATGTTGGTAGTATTTTAACTGTTAACTTGAGTAGTGCTTCACTCAAATGAAGAGAAATAAAATATGTAAACATGCACCTTTCCTGCTAACTCTCACTCTGTGTGTGAAGATGAGGTGGTGTGTTGCTGTCGTCCTAATGGTGCTGCAACTCTGCAGCCAGACGCTGCAGTCTGACCCTCTGCTCTACATCTCACAGCTTCAGAACGGGCAGGAAAAACCCAGTAAGTCCCATCATACCTCCACAGTTTCATCTAAAGTACCAGAGATTATCTTTATTCTTTGTTTTAAACTTCCAAGAGTTTCATGCAACCTTTTCTGTCTTTGTTTAAAATCGTAGAAGTTTTGTCTGTAATGTCTTCACTGTGACAGGTCATAAGCTATTAGTCATTTTAATATGTTTAAATCTTCAAGAGCAAAGTGGACATTTTGATCTGACCCTGAAAGAGTCTTTTATCTGAAATTAGACCAAAATTACCATCTCTTTCTATATCTTCATCCCGCAGAGCCATGGCTCAACCCTGCACTGGAAGAAATCGTTCCTTCCCGGGAAAGCACCGGAACCCCTGAAATCAGAGACATCCCTGGATCTGAAACGACCTCTGACTCCTTTCCCATGTTCAACGAATACACTAACCTCAAGTGGGTCACCTGGGACGGCTCCCTCCCAAACGGCGCCGTCGCTATCTTCAATGGATACACTGAACGCAACGACTATGTCTGCAAAGTCAACTGTGAGGCCGGCTTCTACACTCCCAGCAAAGGAAACTTCTGCCAGTACCCTTACGCCGACAATGAGTACAGGTCCTCTAAGTTCGAGGTACTGGCCAATGTAGACCACTTCGAGTTCCTGCAGTGGGTTGAAGACTCATACGGGTCAGTCCCTCAGTACGCCATCAAAACCTGCCCCAATTCAGACATCTATGTGGGCAAGAACAAGTATGGTCTTGGGAAAGTGGTGACCCAGCACGAGGCCTTCTTCCTGCCATATGAGGGTGATGAGTACTGGTACAAGAGCTACCAGGTCCTGGCAATCAACAGAGAGAGCTACAGCCAGCATATCTCCCATGTCGAGTACCTGATAGACCAGATGGAGCTGTTCCACTACCCCCCAGAGGCCCTGAAACTTGCCAAGGTCACTAATCTTGAGTGCACGAGTGTGCAGAAGACAGTGACTCTGGAGAAGACCAGCATGGTGGAGAAGACCTGGGACATTGGTAGAGAGACCCGAAATGGCTCTGTGTCCACCATGAAGGCCACAGTTCCTATCTTGGGCCCGGGCACCGTGGACTTCACCAAAGAGCAGACTGTGTCCTTCTCAGAGGGAACTACCATGGTGGAGTCTATGAGCCATGCTGTGTCCGTGCAGCTGCTCGTCCCGCCAAACCACTCCTGCTCTGTCAGGATGGACGGTAGGAAGATGATGGCTGACATCCCCTTCACTGGCCGTCTGAGCAGAACCAACTACAATGGAGAAACACACTGGACCTACATCTCCGGCACCTATGACGGGGTCAGCGTTGGAGAGATCAACGCTGTGGTTGAGAGGTGTCAGCCGGTGGTCAACGCCGTCCCCTGCCCTTAAGATCAGTACTGACTTACAGGCTAATAAAAATAAATAAAATAAAAAACTTCAAAAAAATGTAAAGACTTTTACTGTTTTTCTATTCTCTTTAATCTGGTGATTTCAGGTTTGTATACTTTTAAAGGACAGGAATAGCTACAAAAATCATATTTTACTCATAAATTGGTCATTTAATAAACTTAATCATTATAAATCATTACTATATATATATATATATGTATATATATATATATATATATATATATATATATATATATATATATATATATATATATACACACATATGGGGATTGAATATATATATATATACATATATGGGGATTAGCAGATATATATATATATATATATATATATATATATATATATATATATATATATATATATATACATATATTCACAACATGTTTTGTGCAGGTGAACCTCTGTGCTACCGTAGTTTCTCTGATCTCTCGTAGAAAAATGCTAACAAATGAAACACAATGCCTTAATAAAAATGAAACGCTCTTAAGGTTAACTGCAAAAACTTGTTTTAAAACCGTTAAGGACACCTGTTTTGAGGGATTCGTTTAGAAATACTGTAGTGTAGATACTCAGTCGCCAAGCTAGATGGCGATGTCCCCCTACAGAGCACCAACGCCTCTTTCCTGTGATTTTAAACGCTCTCTTTGACTGATACTAAGGGACCGCGGTAACCTCTATGACCACCTGGGAAATTTTTGTATGGCGTAAACATTTACTTGGCCCACTGCAGTCATACTGCAGATAAAAAAGGCTGAAGATTCCGGGTACATACGCTGAACCCAATAACGAAGTCAGCCAAAGTGAAATACGGTAAATATTCCTAACCAGCGAGGTGTCTGGTCGTTGAATCCTCGTGAAAATCTTTGAAATTTAACTTCACGACAGAAGCTTGCGATCTGTCTCATGAGCCGAATGAAAAAAAGTGATATTTTAAGTAAACTTTGCATTGTTTTGCCTCTTTTTCTGAGGAAACTCTTGAACTTTGTCACGATGCGACGACTTTTGACACGATTCATAAACCGGGTTTTGCTGACTGAGCCGTTCACAGCCGCTATGGGCATTGAAGCAGAAATACACACACAAGGCCGACGGAGAATGGTAAGAATTTCAACTCATTTATAAGATGTCTAATACAGTGTGGATCCACGGTAGTTGATTAGCTACAGTGAGGCTTTTTATGAGAGCAGACGCACCAAATCCCACTCGAAGACCTTACGATACAGATTTGTTTTGATAAGTCAAAAAAGGTTAACATGTCTCTATTGAGTTAACTATTTTTTATTGCTCAGGTATGACCAGTTCAATTCGGTGTGTATTAAATTAAAATAATTTGTGCATTGTGTGAAAGATTTGAAGTTTTAAATAATCTGCGCTGCTTCAACCACACAATTGTTACTCAGCCAGGCAAAGTCCATTCAAAAATCTATCGTAAATGTATAGATTTTTGAATGGAGTTTGGTTTGCTCTCTCTGAAAACTCAAAAAACTCTTACTTAAAACTACTTACTGTAAATGACATTCAGTGGAGTCAGAGAGACACAAAACAGTGGCTGTGAAATGACTGAAAATCTTTTCCTTGTACTGTATGTGGCATTATGAGGACAGTGTAGATAAGAGTTGTATCAGAAATGTCACACAGTGAACACACTGTTCTTTTGCAGTTAATCAGTGCTGCCTTTGCTTTTGTGTAAAATACATAAACTCAGTATGCAGTGGACACGCACATGCTCAATGTATGTATGTGTTTGCAGTCATAAAGCCCCAGTCTAATACAATAAAGTCAACAGTTATCCAGTTATGATAGAGCTTATGCCAGTGGATATGCTAGTACCATCGGTATGAGGCAGCAGCAGTGTACTGAATGTACTCTGTGCATTTATGTTCTCAGCTCACATTAAATTTTCTTCTCTTTCAGCTCATGAAGACACTGTATAGTAGAAGCTTTGTCCACTTACCAACTTAAGGAGGGTATTTGGGAAAATATTGGATATGGCACAGTCATTTTTTTCACTGAATTTAACAAAGCTACTTTATGTCGCCAACAATAATGTTTTGACATTTGAATACACACACCCTTCTAGAAGAGTTTTGCAAATTATCAAGAATGACTTTTTTAAATGGAAAAGTCACCTAATGAAGGCCCTTTTTGAAATGCTTTGTTGATGAATTATCCGGGTTTTTTTTGCACTTTTGAATGAAATCACGAGCTATTTGATTTGTCATGTATGGAAGAAGATTATAGAGCCACTGAAACAAACAAAAAGATAATAATTGGCTTTTCTTAGGAAAAAGTAAAAATTCAAACTTTTTTCAAAGGATTCTAAATTTAAAGTAAAAATTCTGGGATTAAAGCCAACAGATCAAAGAAATCTGACTTTTAGTTCAGAATTCATAGATTTAAGTCAGAATTCAGTCTATGATCTTAAAATTTTGAGGACAAAGTAAGAATTATGGCTTTTTTATTTTACAGAATTCTGAGATGAAAGTCAGGATTCAGACTTTTTTTACAGAATTATGAGGAAAAGTCTGAATTCTGATTTCAAATTCAGAATTTTTAAGGAAAAAAAGTTTTAAAAAATCTGATTTTAGATTTTTGTTTTTTTAGGGGTCCATATTCTTTTCCAGATTTATGCACAGAGCTGCAAGGCAACACATTGCTATCTCTAGTGCACAAAATATAGTTTGTTTAGCCAAAGTTGCTAACCCAGTGTCTCAGGAGCTTTAGTAAGGTAAAATGATAGACAGTATCAAGAGCAGCTACTGTAGATGATGAAATCCACTCACTCTGTCACATTTGACACTGATAGACATATGAGCTCAAACAGTCTCTCAGAGTGGTGAACCTCTTCCCATCTTTCCCTCTGAGAGACTCAACCTCTTTAAATGTCCTTTTTAGACCCAGTCATGTTACTAACCTGTTGGAAATTCATCTCATCAGTCTGCAGCATTATATAACAATGCGTGTGTGTTTGTGCGTCCAGGTGGTAGGGCTGGGGAACCCAGGGATGGAGGGTACCAGACACAGTGTGGGCATGGCGGTGCTCGGTGCCCTCGCTGCCCGGCTTGGCGTTGCTGACTGTTGGCGTGGTGACAAGCACGTGTCCGGTGAGGTCATAATGTGGGAGGTGCAGCAGACACATGTGGTGCTGCTCCGTCCCAGGCTACTCATGAACATCAACGGGTTGTCAGTCGCTAAGGCAGGTGAGGTCACCATTTGTGTGTGTGTGTGTGTGTGTGTGTCTGTCTGTCTGTCTGTCTGTCTGTCTGTGTGAACAAGCTCATTTTACTCCTTTTACTTGACATGTAAGAGCTTCTGTTCTATATGTATTTTCAGCTCTTATTTTCGTCATCTGTTTTTTCTTCCCAGCTGCTCTCTGTTAATAATATTATTAATCTAGAAACACAGTTGTTAAGCAGCTTTTTATTTTAATCAAATACCTCTGTGAAAGAAAAAAAAACAGTTATTTAGCAGAAAGTCAATCAAGCAGCAGAGTCAAAATAAAGTATGAGTGTGTATGTAAGTCTGTGTATAAGAAGTGGGCAGGTGAAGGCAAGTGTGTATCTGTGTGTCTGAAAAGCAGCTCAGTTTTTTAAATCTGTGTGTGATGCAGACGTCAAATCCTGAATAACTGTTTTAAATAATTGTGATATCAACATGAACCAAGTTATCATGATTATAATAAACAGTCTGTTTTTTTAGTCCACAGAGAGGATGGGAAAGAGAGCAAGTGATGCTAACAAAATTAAAGAAGTGAAACAAGTATAAAGATAAGATTTAGAAAACTGTTTTTATTTTAGGAATTTTAGAGACTATAAACTATTATTGTTACCACTTTGTGTGTTTCCCTTTTCAGCTAGTAAATATGGAGTCAGGCCTGAGGACATCCTGCTGGTCCATGATGAACTTGACAAACCTTTGGGAAAAATAGCCCTGAAACATGGAGGAAGTGCCAGGTCAGTTTCATTCATTAAGTTCTGTTTTTATCACTCATTCATTCTGCAGATTTGTCATTCTTATTCAGTTTAATTTCATTTTGCAATAAGCCTGTAGAGGAGCTGACTGTTAGATTCTCAGCTTTCACTGTTTTATGAAAATTAAAAATAGCTTTTAAAATCTTTTTTTCAGCATCAGGCATGGATGAAGAAACAACCCCAATGTTTTTACATATAGTATGAAGTCATTGACAAAACTGAGAGGTGATTGTCAGAATTTGGATCTGCATTTATAAGCATTTGTAAATTTAAAAATGATTTTTCATTTTGTGAGAAAAGATGTCAAGTCTCGTGTTTGTGTAAAACCTTCTTGAATGACTCCATTGTTTTCTTCTTCTTCTTCTTCTTCAGAGGTCATAATGGAGTCCGCTCCTGTGTAGACAGTCTGCAGACTGATGTAAGTGACCGCTGACCAACACTCTGATTACTTTATTGACATCTTCATGGACTGTAGGACAAATACAGTGTGCATTAAAAATCAATGAGCATAAATCAGCAGACTCAAGGAGTTCATCTGTGTGAAGAATAATCTGATCCCTGTCTGTCCTGCAGGTGATGCCCAGACTACGGGTCGGGATCGGTCGGCCGACAGAGAAGATGTCTGTGGATTGCCATGTTTTGGGCAGGTTTTCCTCTGAGGAGAAGAAAGTTCTGGACTCTGTTCTGGTCCAAAGTGTGGACCTGCTCATCTCCCAGTTCTCCCAGCAAGACTTCCAACAGTCCCCTTCTTCACCTGCAGGGGACAGACAAGCAGCACAGAAGAGGAAGGAGGAGGAGTGCTTGGCCTCTCCAGCTGAGAAATCTGAAGTCACTTCTGCTGCTCAGAGCTGAAGTCAGTGTAAGAACAGAAAAATTGGAGAAGTGAACCTTTATCGAGTATTTATCTGGACTGGGACTGTGGTTATTGGACCGAGAGAGATGAAACGGGTCCAAGACTCAAAATAAATGGAGCTGAAGCTCAAAATCAAATTTCCAAGAAAGCTGGGTGACAGTTGATTTGTTTTTGTTGTTTTTTTTTTCTTCACAAATGTCAAAATAAATATAATTTTTTTACTTTGGAGTAAAAATGATCATATATTGTGGTTCATTTACCAGTTTGTGTATTTTAAAGCATAAAAACACGTAGATTGAAGATTTATGTATTTTTGTTGCATTATTTATTACAAATAAATAATACAGACTGAACAGCTTTGTGTATTTTTGAGGCCAATGATACAATAAGGAGAAGGTTCATTCAGTTTTTGTTCCTGTTCTGAGCATGCTTAGTAAAACAGTGTGACATACACACTCTAAAAACCCCTGGGTTAAAAACGACCCAACCAAGGTTGAAAAGGGACCGACTATTTATTGGGTTATTTTAAACCCAAAATGTTGGGTTATTCAAATGAAACCAAATTTTGGGTTGACTCAATAACTCTTTTTCAGGGTCAAATTAACCAATTTGGGAGTTAATCTGACCCATGATCTTGGGTTAAATTGATATATACATTTGGGGAGCTTTGCTTTTACAACCTATACCGTCTGAGCCGGTATGGCTTTCAATGGTACACACTCATGTTTATGAGGTAGGCCATAGCACTAAGGGTCTTGCCTAAGGACCGACACAGGTAGATGCACTCCGTTGCTTACAGATTTGTCTCATGTGGGATTTGCACCCCAACCTCCTGGATTGGAAGTGGATGCTCTACCCGCTGAGCTACCCAGCCACCATACAGAGTCAAACGAACCCAATGTTCTGACCCAATTATTGGGTTACTCTCAGAAATATAACCCATAATTATTAACCCATTCAAATAACCCTCAAATTGGGTTACAATAGAATCCATATGACCCAAGAAATGGGGATGGATCTGAAAAATAACCCAGAAATTTAACTCAACACATATCACCCAGGAATTGGGTTGAAGAAATAACCCAAGTGTTTTTGGAGTGTAAAACCTGGACAGAGGATGTAAGTACCTAAAGAAGAGGAGACTGTGTTATTGTACTGATAAATGTCCAGAGCTGTGTTTTCATTGTTCGACGTACAAACTGTACTGCCACCTGTTTGTTCATTATTACATGAAGCAGTTGGTCAACAGGGAAAAAACTGAGCAGTAACCTCCGGACTTCAAAAATGAACTTGTTGCAGAAGTGCTAGAACTGTAGTTCCTAGAGTGTCCACTAGAGGCTGTCTGTAGAGTCACCAGAGCCACATACACTCTTAGTTAAAAAAGCCAATCCTCAGAGCAAACATAAACACGTTTACAGCCTTGTTAAAAAAACAAAACAAACATTCGGTCTGAGAGCAAACCACTGAACAGGGAGGGACTTTTTGTAAAGTTAATAAAGTTATAAGAGCAGTGAATCAGAGGGACCGCTGGCTTGACAGACAGATATGCACACTGTAGCTGGAGGAGGACATTGAGCACTTAATGCCTTATCTTGGTTTGTTAGTTGGACTGTGAGTTCTGTGAGTTTGGACAAGTTCAGTTTAGTTTCTTTTCTGTCAGACTAACTGATACAACTGTTGCTTTGCTTTCAGTCCAAAAACTCAAACTCTGCAGGGATCCTTTCTGCAGTATTCTCAGACAAATTTAAGAAGTGCACAGTGTATTTGGTCTCATGGATGTCAGAGCTGTTTTGTACAAACCACCATGAAAACTTACAGATCTGTTCTTTTATTTACGTTTCAGTCATTTAGACTCCACAAATACAGAAGAAGCTGGGGTCTGAGGTTAAGAACACCAGAACTCTTTGATGGAGCTGTCTGGTGTTCCTGCACCATTGGCTCCTCTGGGCTGTGAGCGCTGGACATTCCTTGTTTGGTGCTTGCGCAAGTCTCCTGAGAATCCATTTAGATTTAATTACAAGAAGTCAATCTCCAAAATGGAGCTATTCTGAAAAGTCAGGAGTCAAACAAAACCCTTATTTCCTGAAGCTTAATTTGTCCTCTTTTGTACCCATCCTGTTGTCACCAGAACATACGGTCCTCCTCACGCGCTGCTTTCCTCCATCTTGTCCTTGCTGTTGTGGCTCTTTTGGCTAAAAACATATTGATTTCCCCTTCCGATTGTCACACTAATTACACTCTTCATCAATTAGCTGTCTTTAATGAGTTGCATCCAGTCAAGAGGCGCACTGCGTTCTCACACTGCAGAGAATGCCAGAGGAGGGAGGTGGCGAGGGAGGGTTGGTGGGGGAAGGTGACGGACAAAAAAAGCCAGAAAAGAGCATATAAAACAGCGGAAAGAGGCCGACGAGCTGCTGAATGAGGGAAATCAATACAAAAGAGGCCAGTAGATTGCAATGGAGGGCTAAAGAAGAAAGGCAGGCAGAAACAAAAGGGGCCAAACATTGTTTAGACTGGTTTGTTCGAGGCCTTCTGTCCTGCTGTAACTCACAGTCACAATAGCTGCAGGGACACACTTGTGGACACGAGAAGGAGGAGGAGGAGGAGGAGGGGGCTCAAAGGAAACTTCTTTATTCTATGACACCCCCACCACACACACACACACACACACACACACACACACACACACACACACACACACACACCGTGAACACCTCCTCCTTCATTTCCTTGACCCGTTGAGCCACCTCTCACCTTCATCAGGCCACTTTCCCAGCCTCAGCTTGCTGGTCAGCTTTAGGAGGCTTCAACAGCCGCTTCAATAACTTTTCTTCTGCAGGGGTCAGAGGTCAGCAGTTGGGCCGGACAACTAGGTCTTTAGAGAATGTATTCAGGAATGGACCCCCAACCTTCCCCCATGCTCTGTGGCTGGGTAGCTGTGCTGAACACTGACCTGTGGGGGGTCTTCCCACAGATGTACCCACTGACTCCATGCATACTGGTAGAGCTGATTAAGAAGAGCTGCTATCATTGAACACATTTGTATTTACTCTTTCAAAGATGAACAAAGATGAATGAAAAGGACATTTCTGAAGTGTTCATGTTTTTGAAAAGCTTCTTAAGATACAGAGGCGTTAAAGTTGTGTAACAGACCAAATATCAGAATGAAGAGCGGGCTCCTCAGAATCATCTCTGAGGACCTTCAGTCAAACAGGAGTAAACCAAAACTACAAAATGTGTCAGTGCTGCACAAAGAGAGCTGAACAAAAACATGTCAGACTCTCAGTGTCCAGTTTTTTGCATCCTCCTTCTTCTTGATTAAAGAAGCCTGTCCTCTTTATGTTGCTGCACTCCCAACTTTAGCAAAAGAAAAATGTTTCAAACTTTTTAAAACATCTTGATTTCTGAATATAACATAAAACCGCATATCTTTTCTTGATGGAAAAGGGAACACACCCCCTTTAAGCTGGAATTCCTACTTCGAAAACTTAATCAGAGCAATTTCAGGTACCCTGAACTAGAAATTCAAAATGGACACATCTCCTGGTACAGACTCTCCTGATACCTCACACTGACAACTGCAACGCCTTACTGGCAGACCTCCCTGCCAGAATTGTTTGAGATGAAACTTATAAGGTTTTCCTCATTTAGCATCTGCTGGTATATTAAAACCAGGTGTTTATAGTTTGTAAGGTTCAGAAATACCCTCACACTGTTCAAACATCTGCTCCAGCTGATCCTTTCATGGTGTTTGATTCATGTTTTCAGGACCTGGTTTTGGTGGCTAGTTGGTCCTCACAGCACTTCTCAGCATTTCCATTTAGGTTTCCAGTTTTAATGAGAAAAACAGTTGCTTCAGAGTTTTTAGGGTCTTTTGCATGAAGGTGACGTCAGGCTTGAACACAAAGTTCGTATCTGAAATGTTGACTCATGGTGTCTGTCAGGCCGAGTACAGACCTCTCTGTGCGCTGAGTTATTTTTATCTGTGCTGTCCTCAAACTGATCTTCATTATGCTCCTGTAATAAGTCTGCAAGGACTGAGCAGTAATGTATTTTATCTCTCTGTATTACTGTAATGTTCCAGCAGGGACCTGTAGAGTGTCTTTCATTATCACTGCAGTTTTTTTTCAGAGTATCTGTGGGTTTTTTTTCAGCTTTCCCATGGCACAGTGTGATACAGTGAATCCCAACCCGTCAGGGATCCTTTTCTCATTTGTCTCTTTCCGATGAGTAAGCATTAATAACACGTCCTTCTCCCTTTTCATGGTCGTAATCTCCAGTGATCTCGTGCCTCCCACACTAAATTATTCTTACAGCGCCATGAAAGGGCAGCAGCGGGGCCTTTTAAGAGGCAAATGAGCATCCAACGCGCAGACATGTTCCCAGAGACGGAAACGTTAGCTCAGACTACAGAGCAGAGCCGGGCACAGGGAATCACTGACATGTCCACTGTCTCCGTGAGGGCAAAGCCTGCTGGGTAATTTATCCTTTAACCCCTTGTCTCACTGTTTACACACAAGGAGTGAAGCAGTGCAAAAACATTGGATTATCACCCTGGGATCCATGATGGAGGTCTGAGAGGGAAATTCAGACACCAGCCTTTTTCTAGAGCTCCATTTTTGTCCTCTTTCATGAGTAAAATCTCACACTTTTCTGGCAAAATATCATTTAATGCACGTGTGAAATTCTAAGTGGCAAGTTTTCAGCTAATCAAGCTTAATCAAATCACTGTTAACTGGGTTTGAGAGTAAAAATACAAACTCCTTTGTATGTCTGTTGATGTTGCACAGAAATGAACAGCTCATGCACATGGTGTCTGTAAACCAAGAAGTGAACACCTTCAAAAGAGAAAATATCGCGCAGCATTACTCAACTTCATCAAACCAGATGAGGGCCGGATTTTAACACCTGCAGGTGCAGGAGTCAGGAGCACTGGAGTCTGAAGTCAGGAGGTGACGTGGTGGATAAAGTAAATTAAAAGATCTCACTGCAAATGCAGGACACGCCACAGGAAAGCTAAGAAATGCAAACAAGACAATAGATGTGCATCACAAAATACAACATGTAAAATTGTGTCCAGGTTGATGCATCGTGTGGTGTTTTCTTCTATTTTTTGTGAAAAATAACCTCTTTAATTCAATAAGAACTATCTCTGAAACACTGCCATGTCACCCCTCAGCAGCAGTAGAACTGAGGAGGAGTCGCTGCTGACCACAAACTATGAGCCTGTAGCTCCTAAGTGAGCAGGTCGGATTCAGTCAGAGTCACAATTATGGAACGTACAGTCTTACAGCTGAAAAAAGTGCCCAAAATAAACACATCAGCTGTATAGTGAAAAAACTGACCCCACTACATCATGATTGAGAGTCAATGCAGGATAATTCAAAATTCAGCAGTCATTTTAACAAGTACAATTTTCTGATTTTCTGTCCAGAAGGGAAAAATCTGAGGTTTGGTTGGAGTGTGAAGCTGTGTTCAAACCTGTCTGCAGACCTCTGTGCTCTGTCTTCTTCGTGATCAGTATTGACTGAAGCAGTGGGATCAATTAACAGTGTTAGCTTTGACCCAGCGTTCACCTCAGCACTGGGCAGTTTGTGTCGCCTCCATGAATCAGGATCAGCTTTACTATCTGTGCTTGTACAAGGACTCAGACTCCAAATCACTGTGTCCTCTCTTTTAAGACATTCAAATATCAAAGCAATCTACACAGACATCAGACAATCAACAAACAGGGTTATAGGACTGAATGTGAAACTATTCTAGTGTGAGGCGGTGGTGCAGTGCTGAGAGGTGCAAAGGTTGAAAACTTTTTATCTGTGCAAGTCTCTTATTTTACTAAACAGCCTTCTGACACACTTTCAGAATTAATCCATTGAGTTTAAACAAGAGGAGGTTCTCCATACCAGTAGGTGGCGATAATATGTAATCAGTCTGCCATGCCAAACACCACAGAAGAACACCAGGTGTCTTCTTGAGCGGGCGTCCATTGGAAATAATATCCGTTAACGCTTGTAAGGAAGTGACGAAATAAAACTCTTGACTTGTTTCCCTTGGTGTAGTGTGATGATGAAGTAAAGCTAGATTTTCTTCTTAACAGAACAACAGCAGTCCCCAACAAAGCAGACGCTGACCATCTTGGAGCATGCTCTGTATATAGAGATAACAAGTGTCATGAACAAGTGCACCAACATTTCCACAAAATTTGAGTTTTGCTGTGCACACGACAACAGCTGAGCAGCGTTTTAAAAACCTTTATTTTCAGTGACCAAGGACTCTCTTCAGGTGTGAACGTGGGCCAGACTTACAGGCCATTCTGTCCTTCACGGTTTAAGTTGCCCCATGTAGCTACAAAGCTGACCTGGGGTTTGATTCCAGCCAGCAGCTTCTCTCATGAGTCTCATTCCCCGCTCTCTTTCCTGTTTCTGCTCCATCTGCGGTCAAAGTAGAAAAAGACATAACAAGTCACAAAATAAGTCACAATAAAAACAAAAACATCAAAAATCTCTGTTTTCAAAATACGTAAATCAGTGTGGATTACCTCAAGAGGCAGCAGGGCAGCAGTTCTCTCGAAAACCTGGCTCCTCACTGAGACCAGGTGTGTCTGGTTTGGTGTCAGAGAATCTATACTGTGGATTATGTTGAAACACTCAGAGATTCACTGACTGAAGTTTGATGAAACATACATTGATTTATTTTCTTTTATTGCTTTGCATAAAGACCGGAGTCTGTGGGATTCATTCATTCATTCATTCATTCATTCAGAGTTGTTTTAGTTTTGAACTGGGTTTTAAGTCAAAATGTGTGAACTTCAGTTTCATGAAGATCCCACACTGGTGCATTCATCTGTAATCCACATGCTGTTTGCAGCCACAGTTACCCCTTGCACTACTGCCTACTGCTATGTGATGTAAATGATGTCACTCTATTTTTAGAAAGGAGTTAAAAACTCAAAATGAATGTGAACTTTGTAATGAACTGAACTGCTTTATCACCAAAGTTCTTCAGGTTTGAGCCAATAGCTACCGGTTCAGCATACAGTTAGAGCTGTTTACCTCTGTGATCAGTTATTTTCAAAGAGATCATCTCATTAAATTCAATTGATTAAAAAGACTACTGCTTTGACTTTCATGATATAATAATATGGATTTCAACATTATCTACAAAACCCAATTCCAATGAAGTTAGGAAGATGTGTAAATCGTAAATAAATAAGGAATACAACGATTTGCAAATCCTTTTCAACCCATATTCAATTGAATATACTACAAAGACAACATACTTATTGCTCAATCTGATAAACTTTATTGTTTTTTGCAAATAATCATTAACTTTAGAATTTGATGGCAGCAAGACATGACAAAGAAGTTGGGAAAGGTGGCAAAAAATACTGAGAAATTTGAGGAATGCTCATCAAACACCTATTTGGAACATCCCACAGGTGAGCAGGCCAATTGGGAACAGGTGGGTGCCATGATTGGGTATAAAAGCAGCTTCCACAAAAATTCTCAGTCATTCACAAGCAAGGATGGGGCGAGGTTTACCACTTTGTGAACAACTGCATGAGCAAATAGTCGAACAGTTAAAAAACAACGTTTCTCAAAGTACAATTGCAAGGAATTTAGGGATGTCAACATCTATGGTCCATAATATCATCGAAAGGTTCAGAGAATCTGGAGAAATTACAGCATGTAAGCGGCACGGCCAGAAACCAACATCGGTCCCTCAGGTGGCACTGTATCAAAAACAGACATGAATGTGTTAAGGATATCACCACATGGGCTCAGGAACACTTCAGAAAACTACTGTCAGTAAATACAGTTTGTCTCTACATCTGTAAGTGCAAGTTAAAACTCTACTATGCAAAGCGAAAGCCATTTGTCAACAACATCTAGAAACGCTCCTCTGGGCCCGAGCTCATCTAAGATGGACTGATGCAAAGTGGAAAAGTGTTCTGTGGTCTGACGAGTCCACATCTCAAATTGTTTTTGGAAATGGTGGACGTCGCATCCTCTGGGCCAAGGAGGAAAAGAACCATCCGGACTGTTATCGACGCAAAGTTCAAAAGCAAGCATCTTTGGTGGTATGGGGGTGCATTAGTACCAAAGGCATGAGTAACTTACACATCTGTGAAGGCAACATCAATGCGGAAAGGTACGTACAGGTTTTGGAGCAACATATGCTGCCATCCAAGCAACATCTTTTCATGGATGACCCTGCTTATTTCAGCAAGACAGTGCCAAGCCACATTCTGCACGTGTTACAACAGTGTGGCTTCGTAGTAAAAGAGTGCGGGTACTCGAATGGCCTGCCTGCAGTCCAGACCTGTCTCCCATTGAAAATGTGTGGCGCATTATGAAGCGTAAAATACATCAACGGAGACCCCGGACTGTTCAACAACTGAAGCTGTACATCAAGCAAGAATGGGAAAGAATTCCACCTTCAAAGCTTCAACAATTAGTCTCCTCAGTTCCCAAACGTTTAGTGAGTGTTGTTAAAAGGAAAGGTGATGTAGTACAGTGGTAAACATGCCCCTGTCCCAACTACTTTGGCACATCAAAAACACAGTTTCAGGTGTGAAATGTTAACAGTTGTTTTATTTTTGGCAGACTGTTAGGAGCAAGAAAAACTCTTTTCATTGAATAAAACCACTGAGAGGAAGAAAAAAAAATCAAAGTTTCTTCAAAATAATAGAATTTTGTTTTCTTTGTTTGAAAATAAATTTTCATTGTTCATTCTTTTGTGTTTTGATTGTATTAATTGCTTGTTGTTATTTGTTGTGTATTTTTGGAATATGTTTTTTTGAATGTTTTTCATCATTTTTATGGAGGTTTTTTGTTGTTTTTGTGTTGTTTAATGTTTATTTGTGGTTATTTTGGAGGTTCTTGGCTGTTTTTCATTATTGTTGCAATTTTTTTCTTTTCATTGTCTTTGTGTGAAGTTTTAGTTCGTCATTGTTTTTTAACTGTTTATTATTTCTAAATTCTTTTAGAATTTAGAAATAATAAACAGTTGCTTTTGCTGCGTTTTTTTTAATAGTTTTTGGTATTTCTTCTTTTTCATGGAGCGTATTTTCTGTTTTTATCTTTGTTTTTTCCACCTGAATTTTATTTACAGTTATTGGTCTTTTAATAGTTTTTCGTTGTTTTTGTTGTTTTTCTTTGCGTCTTCATCTTATTTGTAGTTTTTTCTTCTGATTTTTGTATTTTTTTCATTCATTGTTTTGGGTTCTTTGTTGTTTTTTCATGGTCTTTCTCATAATTTTTCGTTGTTTTTCCACCGTCAAATCATGAGTGAGGGAAGCCTCTGAGCTCAGACTCTTACAGCAGCAGAGAGCAGAGAAACGTCATCTCATTATCTGTTGGAGCAAAGTGTGTGTGTGTGTGTGTGTGTGTGTGTGTGTGTGTGTGTGTGTGTGTGTGTGTGTGTGTGTGTGTGTGTGTGTGTGTGTGTTTTGATTGTAACTGAAATCGAAGAAAAAGAGAGAAGAGGAAAAGGAGAGCATTGTTTCTTTAAGAATCTCTCTCTCTCTCTCTCTCTCTCTCTCTCTCTCTCTCTCTCTCTCTCTCTGTACAGATTCATCATTACTTCTTCTTCTCCTCCTCCTCCTCGGGGCACAATGGGCATTTATCATCCTCCCCGCCGTGTGTGTGTGAGCTGAGTGTGTGCGTGTGTGTGTAAATCAGTGTGTTTATTCAAATCTCAGTACCATGAGCGGACCGGCCCCACTCCCGAGCTCTCCCCCGGTGACACGGACGCACCGACCGGGGCTCATTGTTGGAGGAGCCCCAGAAAAAGCCCCCAGACACGGCAGGTCGGAGGAGGAGAGGAGACGGAGCGGCAGAAGGAGTCGGAGGAGTGCGCGGCGGAGGCGGTCGGGGTTTCTCTCCGTCCTCCGTGTGACCATCCGCGGGGATCCAGCATCCAGCCTCCCTCCCTCCCTCCATCATCAGTCGCTTTTCCGGCCGCTGGAGCAGCTTTTCCCGGTTCCATGTCTCCCTCCTGGATGTACCCGCGGAGGAGGAGGAACAGGAGGAGCAGGTGCATCACGGTGCAACCTGCAGCACGTTTCCCCTTTTTCTCTGCAGGTTTGTTGAGCTGAAAAAAAGCGCTAAAGATGGTTAGAGGCATCTTTTTTGGAGCTTTTCTGGGGGGGAGGAGGGGGACTACAGGGTTAGAAAGGATGGACGAGAAAGATGCGTGTGAACAGGTGCAGATATGGCGGAGAGGAGTTTGGATTTCCGGGATTTCCCTCTTTTTTTCTGCTCCTGAACTCACCGCCTCGCAGTGAGCGCTGTTCGAGCGGATCCTGCACATCCTCTCGGCTCTGGGATCGTTTCTGATAAATTGAGAGCTGCTAATTAGCGGCTGTAATTGGATAATATGTCTGATGATGTGTTGTGTGAGTGTGAGCACGCTGCTGCTGCTCACTTCACTCTGAGCTCACATTGATAAAGGAGACTCTTTGGGGCCTTTTTCAATCCTTCTCTCTCTTTCTCTCTCCTGCTTTTTGTTCGTTTGGCTCTTTCTGCGTAAAAGTTGCTTTTCTTTGTGTGTTTGAGCTCTAGCTGCTGATTGTCCAAACGCAATTCTTGTGAAATCTCGAATCCAAACCGAGAATTGTGCCTGGACATCTGTTGCTGGAAACTCCTGCCCTTCTCCCGGATCAATCTGAATGTTCTTCTCCGCATGTTTTCCGTTTTGGTTCATTCGGTTCGCACATGTCCATCCTTTTCTCATCCTTCAAATTTATGTTCTCGTGGGTTTTTCTATTTCAGGGCCTCTTGAAGGGCCACGGTCCTTTCCTGCCGTCTTAATTGGACTATAATCAGCCCTTTAATGAACTTTAATTCTCTAAAATTTCCCTCCTTTCACTGATGAAGTGAAGCAGAAAAGCTTAGACTCTCACTTTCTGTCGCTCAGTTTGCAGCAGGCCTGCAGGAAAGAGAGGCCAACCCAAAAAAGAAAGAGTGATAATTAAGTATTTTACAAGCTGGGCCGTTTTTTTCTAACTTGTTGGGCTGAGACTAAGATTTCGCAGCTCCTCTCTTTCTCCTGCAGATAAAAAAGAAAACCTCTGTGACGGTTTATTGTCGCTCCACTGCAGAGCCTTTGTTGCCGCCCTTTGTTGCCGTTTTGGGGATTATAATTTGCATAATTCTTCAGGAATGTATCATTTTAATTTTGTTTAACAAACCGTGACCTTTTCCAAGGCCTTTATCCTTTTAGACAGGATGCCATTACAAGCCAATAAAGAGCAGCACGTTTGTTCTGATCTTGATGTTGATGAATAATAAAGAATCCATGCATGATCTCTGGAAGTATCACATTATTTTCCTTTTTTGCACGTCCGTCCATCTGTCCTGCTTTCATTTCAGCCCACATGCATGCATATTTTTCCATTAAAATCTTATTTTATTTGTGCTCTGCAAGTTGAAGAAATACAAGATAAATTTATTTAAGCATTTTGAGCAAGAAAATCTGCAGATGCAATGTTTAGCTTAAATGATTTTCTGAATTTATTTTTGGAAGAAGAATTTCACTTTGAATCCAAAATAAAATTCATTTGTGGCTTCGATGAAATTTTCAGGAAGTAAAATCTGAATTAAGGGGGAGAGGAAAAGATTTTGTTAACAGAGAAGCACGTGCAAAATCAAAAGAGGCATCAAACAGGACAATCTATGGTTCTTTTTTGTAAAAATGTAAGTGTTGGAAAAATGAGGACAAAATTTGAGTGTCAGCGTTTGTTAATTTTGAGGAAAAAAATTAGTTTCTGCCTGACAATGATTTAATTTTTTGTCAAAGTGAAGGTCTGCTAGGAAGGGAGATTTAAAAAGTGTAGTCTGCGTTGAGGGAGAGTCAAATCTTAATTTAGTTTACATTAATATATATATATATATATATATATATATATATATATATATATATATATATACATATTAATGTAAACTAAATTCAGATTTTTTATAAACCAAAGGATGAGAGACTTTTTAATTTCAGTCAAAAGTTCTCCTTGGCTCTGACATCAGTGACCAGTGACAGGAATCTCTTCACTGTCAATTGAACAGCAAACCAAACCCTCACTTTGACTTTGGCGCGTTGGGTTTTGAGGACAGGGGTCTGTTTGATTTTCACACCGCAGCGTCACGGCGGCTCAGTGTGTCGGGTCTGCTCAGACTAATTTTCTTTTGTGATCTGCACAGCGAGGACCAGGAGCTCAGAGCAGGACAGTGGATTAGATAAAACACTGTGTGTGTGTGTGTGTGTGTGTGTGTGTGTGTGTGTGTGTGTGTGTGTGTGTGTGTGTGTGTGTGTGTGTGTGTGTGTGGTGCCCAGTTCAAATCCCACCACCCAAGTTGGGGAGGAAAACTCACAGGTCCTCTGATGACTGAGTGCCAGTGAACGCCTCGTGTCTGCAGGATCAGTCTGCCGTTAAAAAAAATCAAATGCATGAGAACAGGAAGGAAAGGAAAGGAAAGGAATATATATCAAATAAAGATTCTCTCAGATTTTATCACATTGTTGAGACTAAACCAGAGAAATCCCAAGAACCCTCCTCTGAATAAAACACAGTCTTAAATGATCCACATTTAAATCACCTTCAGAGCAGAAGATCTGAGAAAAAACGGATCCCAGATTTTAACTTCTACAAATCTCAACAAAAAAGAGAAATTATTTTGTGGTGTAAAAAGTCCTCTACATGGTTGTTAGGTGTCATTTTGGTGTCAAAGTTATAAAAGCCTTCTGCGAAAAAAAAAAATGCTGTCAGAAAATCTAAATGAGCATCATAAGGATAAAAAACAAGTCCTGAAAAGTGTCAAAAATGATGTTTGATTCTAAAATTCACACTTTCAGTTTGAGCTGAGAAACTTTTATAGAACTCAAGTATCCAATCAGTCACCTCAGAGGATTTTTATGATGAAATGAAAACCAGGCCTTGAAAATAAACCACAAGATTAATATGATCCTGATTACAGGCCTGTAGGATTGAAATATTTCCAAAAGGAAACACAAAAATAAAGAAATGTCAAGATAAATCTATAAAAAAATAGTTCACTCGGGCTCTATCTGAGCTGCGGAATAATTCATTCTGTGTGACCACTTGGCTCAAACCTGTGGCTCCCTCTGGGTGCCCTGAACCACAGATTAAGAGACAGGCTTGATCTGAAGTCTAATGTTGAATAATTTCAATCTTTAAACATGCAGACAGTCCGACTTAAAGACTCAAATGAAAAAAAGAATTGGGAGGCAAATGAGATTTTGGGGACATATTTTGGGCACATCTGGTGATAAGAATTCCAAACAGTGACCCAGTTTAAACTCTAAATGATTTTAAAAACTGAAGTCTAAATATTCCTCATTTCTGAGATGACAGGCTCCTGCGTCCTCCTGATGTTGCTTTCAGGTGCTCCCTCAGCTCAGCCAAAAAGAGAAATTGATCAGAATCGACAGAAAATATTGATGACAAAGAAATGTTGAGGAAACAATTAGGAGAGCAGCGTAATGATTGCAGAGATCATTAGAGACATTTAACCTCGCTGACGTCTGCTGATGAGGTATATAGACTGATCCACAAACCTGCTTTCCACCAAATATCTTATATTTCATTGTATCCCTCCTCTCTGTAAACTCAGTTTGTCTCATAATCTCTGTTTTTCATGTGACATCTGCAGAAACTAGTCAGAGCTGTGAATCAGGTAGAAAATCATAGATAAAAAGAATCTGCAAAGTCTTATTTTACATTTCAGGATTGAAGCTGCAACGCAAGAAACCATTTTGTACTCTCTAATGTAAAAGAAAAATTAAATGTTTTGGGGGGATTACATTTCTTTTGCATTTTGAGAATTTTGCAAGATTCCCCTCAGATTTTATTTTTTTCTGTAGCTCAGTGAAAATATATTAATTCAGTTGGGGAGTTTGCACTATTTTCTCAAAATGCAAAGTAAAAAGAAGAAAATCTTTCAACGCTGAAAGACTGACTTCATTACTCACATTTTAACCAGATTTATTCTCAACTTTATTAAATTCGTATTTTTCTTTATTTATTTTCATCATGTGGATCATTATTATCTGTACACACTGCAAAAAAAAACAAACAAAAAAAATTTTTTTTTCCTTAAACCAAAATCTCTGCATTTTATATTGCATTGTTTGTTGCATTTAAACGCAGGTCAGCTAATTTATTATTACTCATTTAGTGATCAGCTGATGAGCCATTTAATGAACTGATGTCTTTTTTTAGGTTCAAACTCTGCAGCAGTTGCATTTTTTTTTTTTTTTTGCAGCTTTGAACTGCCAAATTTGAACACTTTGACTTTAAACTGCAGCAACAAAACCCTGTTAATCTGAGACTATTGCCTTTTTCTTTCCTTGCAAAAATCTGGATCATACTTTGAGTATAAGTGGAGATTTACTGATGTGCCAGTATGTTTAATATAATGTCTGTCTAGCTGTATGCAAAATATTATCCGTATAGTCTGTCAGTATTTGCAAACAATAGTTTAAAAATTGTGTACTGTACAATGTCTGCAGAATCTCTTCTGGAAAGGTGATCCATTGAATATGTGCACGCCATGAAAACATACATGTGCAAACATGTTGACTCTATTATTAACAAACAGCAGGCACATTACCAAGTGCATACTTAGAAAAATGAATATTTGATTGTTTATGATTCAATCAATTGTTGGATGTTTTTGACTTTCCGAATAAGAGTAACAGGTCAATGCTCGCTCTGAGGAAACTGACAAAAATGGTGTATATGTGTCAGCACCAGTCTGAGTAGTTCAAATGAGTTTAAAAATGTCTGTACATCAAAATCCAGTCTTATGAATCCCTGATTGTGCCTCCATATTCAGATGGTATCAGAGTATTCTCAGATATGATGGTTAAAAACTCTGTGATTGAAAAAAATCCAGAACCAGTCACGCGAGTCACACTTTGTCTGCTGTGCTTTATGTCCTTAAGTTTGAATATTCAGACTTATTTATGATTAAAAGGCCTTAAAATCATCATCGAGTCAGTTTGTGGTTCAGCTCAAGAATATCAAGTAAGAACATAACAGACAAACAGAGACAGAAATCTAAAATCATCCAAAACAGCTGACCTAAATATCCTCCCAGTCCAGAGACGTGTTTGAAATGCATGTTCAACTGTCTAATGTAAATAAATCGTTATGATCACAATGAATGAGCTGCATGTTAGCCTGTATTGAAAGTTTCCTGGATCCCTAATACCTAGAATCCTCTAATCTGCCTGAATGGAGTTATTGCAATGAAGATGAGATTTAAGTCTTCATACAATGAGAATGAAGTCGAAGAAATATTACACAAGTAAAGTAATTATGTTACAAGAAAAAGAAAAAACATAAGATCAAAATCATCATTGTTCTTTCATCAATATTTAAGCACATGAAGCTGTTTTGGAGGGAGGTTCTCAGTCTTTGTCCTGATTGTGAAAATCCTGTGGAGCTGAGGAGAAAAAAAGAAAAAGACTTTTATTCTTCGTAAAAATCTTGACCACACTTGAAGCCCTCACTCCTCAGACAGCTGACTGCTGCTCACCATGAACCAGAACCACTTTATTCTCACAGAACGTGAGGACTTAATTAATGAACTCTTAAAAAGACACTATCTGACTATTAATTTTTATTTGTAAATAAAAACTAATATAAACTTTAATAATAACCAAAGCTCAAGTTAAATCTCACCAGAAAGTGACGTCCTCTTCGTGACATGAGAATTAAATCCCAAACCGACCTATAATGATAACAAAACTTTCTCCCTTTAAACAAATCATTTCAGTCTTATCAAAGAACGACTTTGTTCCTGTAACATATGGTCTTTTTTCCTGTTTCAAAGTAAAGTCAATCTCGTTGAATAAGGACTTTATTCTCCTCACTTTATTCTAAGAAGAAATAAAAGAAAAACTTTATTAATCCCCAAAGGAAATTTCAATTGTCTGTTGTCTCACATAATATGTCTCTAAAATGTATCTATTATTTACACAAGAGTTATAAAGCCTGATGGCTGTTGGTACAGTATTTTTTTTTTTTCTCAATCTTTATAAACATATTTTTCGAACACGGTTGAAAAACAAACTCTCTCGGTGTGTTTTTGAATTCTTCGTTGTAGATCCCTAGACTTCTGAAACTCCTCAGACCTAAATCCTCATGAAGTCTTTTACAGTCAAACCACAGAGTTAAAAAAAAGGGGGACTACAGGTGCTTACTGTTGTTAGCTGCTTAGCTAACTGGTACTTCCACTTTCTTTTCAACTGATCCCTTATCAGTTCAGCGGTCGTCTGTCCTTTATGTTTATGCTTCATGTTTATCATTGGTGTCTTTATTTTCAGTGATGAAGTCCTTAAGTATCTTCAGGAACAGCTGATGTCTGCATTATTCAGGAATCTTTCAATTAGACTCAAACTGTAAAGGGAGACTATTTTGAGGTTTGATTTATATTCTAAAAATGCACCCCCCTCAGTGTAGGAGCCTGTTTTTTAACACTAAGTGAACTCTTTTTCTCCACAGGTCGTCCTAGACTCTCCTCTTCACAAAGATCTGAGTTTATCTCAAGGTTTTGACCTAAGAGCAGGACTCCATCCTCTGCAGCATTGAAAAGGCTCACAACAAGGTGTTTGCACACACTGATGTTACGTTGAGAGACATGGAAACAGCCTGAATCTTCATTTCTCTCCAAAGAGAAGCTGAAAATGATCTCTGCCTTCATGTCCATGAAGCGTCACAGGTTTTCATGCACATTAAGGGTGGTTGCATGTGGGTGGGGTGGAGGTAAGTGTGAGTACAGACGTCACAGCAGCGTTGGAACATTTCAAACCACCACCTCCTCCTCCTCCTCCTCCTCCTCCTCCTCAGTCTCTTTCGGCCTCCATGTTGGACCACATTGAGCTGCTTCAATCTGTCCTGCTCATTTCTGCTCTGGGTCACTCACTTCCTCCTTCATGCTCCCCTCCTCCACCTCCTCATCCTCCTCTTACCACCTCCACAGTCACATGACCAAGCTGTATCATCTCTGTAAAACAAACACACATGCACGCGTGCGCGCACACACACACACACACACACACACACACACACACACACACACACACGCACGCACACACACACACATACACACACATACACACAAACACACACAGGCTTCTGCAAGGAAGAGGATGGAGAGCAAGATGAGGGGAGGGACCGGATGTGGGCGGAGGAGGAGGAGGGGGTGTGGGAGAATCACAGGGGTGACGTCACATCACGACCTCCTTCCCAGCATCCCCCCCTTCCCATCACACAAACACACACACACACATGCTCACACAATCATTCATGAAAAAAAGAACCACTTGCGTCCCGTGGGCGTGTGCGGGGAACATTAAAGGTCTTAAGAGTCGACCTCCTGTGACTTCATGGATGTTTGAAGTCTTTTAAGCATGAGCAAAGAGGCAGTTGATGTATGCATGCATGTTTATTTGTGTGTGTTTGTGTTCAATTCAGCGTTCAAGTGCATCTTCAGTTTGCACTTCCCCTCCTGCACAGGTAAGATGAGAGTCATGTAGTCGCAGAGTGCTAGCTGCCCTAAAATGGTTAATTTTGTGGAGTCTGCAGAGATCCATTAATGACCCCCCCCCCCCCCCCCCACACACACACACACACACACACACACATTATATACGCCCCCAAATTACATCATCATTGCCGACCCATCACATCCTGCAAAATGTCAGCGCCATCTGTTCAGCAGCAGTGTGTTCTGCAGCAAAGACAGGAGCAGGCGGCCATGTTTGACGTTCAAAAGTTTCCTTCATGACGCCTGAGATCACACCACCCTTCTTCATACGTAACTTGGGCATGTTGGAGCCGGGCTAGCATGCAGTTTTAGCGGGTGTTTCCTTTGCATGGTGGCTGAATTTGCATGGGATGTCTCCAACCATCACCTCCATCTGTTTTTACCAAACAGCAGCCAGTACCCCTACTAATACACACACACACACACACACACACACACACACATTGCAGCAGTATTCAGCCCCAGCTGCAGCTGCAGATGCACAGCTGCGGTTCAGCAGGGGCGCAGTGACATCACCGCCTCCTCCTCCAATTGTCTGCTTTGTTTATTTTAAGTAACATTTACAGCTGGTCAGAGGGGGATGTGGAGGGTTTCTGGATCTCACTTTAACTCTGCCCCCGGTTCAAAAAGTGACAGAGAGTCTTTGAAAAAGGACCAGGTTGGACAGGTCTCCATGTTTGATGAGTTCAGCTGAGCAGGGAGGAAACTGCTGAAAGTGTCTGGAGGAACAAACACACTGAAACACTCTTTACTAGAACACACTATCCTGTCACCAGCAGACAGACCAAACTGAGGTCAGCTCATCGCCTTTGAAAGTTAACTTGAAAGTTAATCTATCTTCTCTCTTCAGGTCATAAACTTGTTGCTCTTTCCTAACCTTGGCTGTCACAAAGAATCTGAGGAGCACTAATGTTGAAATCAGGCCTGGAAGTCTTGCATCTCATTTTTAACAATCATCTGAAGGGCATGCATCCATGTATGCATCTTAAATGCAATATTTCACACATTAACACATCCACCTGTGCTTCCCTTGTGCAGTATTACCTGCACAAACATGCAAATTTGGGTGCATTAGCACATTGGATTTTGTATGGAAACAGCACACAGTTACAGCTACAGGAGATGTGCTCGTTAGTGTTGAAGATCACACCTGATGAGGTAGACTGATGTGGAGCTTGTGGGTCTAAAAGCTCAAAATTAGTTAAGTGAGAAGTCTTTGAAGGTCAAGTCCAAGTCAAGTCTTAAGTTATCTCAGTGTGTGATTTAAGAGTGACCCAAGTCTCAAATTCACGTTCCCATCTGTGGGTAAAGGCAGCTGCAAATGACTGCAGTTCTTCAGAGTTATGTTTTAGGAGCAGTTGAAACCTGTTTAAGCAAAGATCAGAAAAGATTTTTATCTGCAGCAGGGGGCACCAATATCAACACAAACAGAAAGTAAATAAATGAGAATTGTCAAATAGTTGTTTTTTACAGAGACCAAACACCATTTAATGTTATTAAAACTGAAAATGCTCACTGAGGTGAAGCAGGGAGAGACTGAGTGGTGTTAAAGACATGACGTCAGCATAGTAGATCCAAAAACTGAAGCACCTGCTCAGATGTCCACCATTAAGAGTTGTGCAAAGTTTTTGTAATTTATCCCCAAATTATCCCCCTGAGGTACATACAGACCAAAATAAACTGAATAAGAATCAAGAATTGGTTTAAACTAATTCTTTTATTAAACCTTTATTTAACCAGAGATGTCACGTTGAGATCAGATCTTATTCACAAGGGTGACCTGACTAAGTGGTCAGCAGCACACACCATAATAAATACTAATTTGAGAAAAGATTAAGGCAATAAATATTATTTTTGCAGACAGTCTCTAGTAAACCGTGAGGGAACTGCAGTTTTAGCACTTCTGCACCGGCTTCTTCTCTTAAGACCTGAGCTGCTGCTTGTGTGAAAGGCGGTCAGTTTAAGTGACAACCAAGAAGGCAGTAATGGCAGACAGACAGCAGAAGGGGTTCAAAATGCTGTCATAGACAACAAGATATGGTTATTGACAAGTAAGCTCTAAATATGACTGCTACATTGTACAAAACTCAATTCCATTGAAGTTGGGAAATTGTGATAAACGTAAATAAAAACAGAATACAATCATTTGCAAATCCTGATCAACCCATATTAATTTTAATACACTACAAAGACAAGATATTTAATGTTCTTAAAACTTTCATAAAATTTATTTTTTTTTGCAAATAGTAATTAATGTAAAATTTGATGGCAGCAAGACATGACAAAGAATTTGGAAAAGGTGGCAATAAATACTGAGAAATTTGAGGAATGCTCATCTTTGCTCCCCCCTTTGGATTGTCTGCCTGGTCTGCTTGCCTCCCAGTTTCTTAACTTCTGCCTGCCCTGACAAAGCCACCTGCCCAGCCACTGAACTGTCTGTGTGCCAGATTCCTGATAAATAAATCCACTGACTGAACATCGATTCTGTGCCTTGTTTGTACTGCATTTGGGTTCATACAATACCTGTTACAGTACAATCTGGCCAGTAATGGACCCAGCAGAACCAACATCGCCACAGAATCGGTTTGAAAGAATCAAGAGAGTGCTCATGCTTCATGAGCAGCGGTTGGAGGAGGCTGCTGCCTATGCCAGACAAGCTGTGGAGGCCCAAGCCAGGGCCATCACCGCCCTCGCGGCTCAAGTGCAACAGCTGACCTCCACTCTTCCCTCTCCAGAGGGCACAGTCTCTGCACCTCCACCTCCTGCTCCAGCTCCAGCTCTGCCGAGGATGATTTTGGAACCCCGACTGGGGCCCCCTGAGCATTACAATGGGGATCCCAAGCTCTGCTGTCCTTTCCTGACTTCCTGTTTGTTGCTCTTCAGTCTGCAGCCATACACGTTTGCCACTGAGGGAGCTAAGGTGGAATACGTCATCAGCAACCTGACGGGTAGAGCTCCCTCTGGGGAACAGCAGAGTGGGAGAGGCAGACTCCTGCCTGTGTTTCATTCCAGGCCTTCTCGGAGGAGCTGAGCAAGGTCTTCGGGCTGGGAGCTTTGGGTCCAGATGGCACTTCCAACCTAACAGCATATGACCATACGACTCCATACGGCAGTGTAATCAGTCCGTGGCAGATAGTTGGTCTTGGTCAACTTCCAGACCAAGGCCCGTCAGAGTGACTGGAACACTGCTGCACTCCGGGATGCTTTTCTGCGTGGTCTAGCAGAATATATCAAAGATGAACTGGTTTCCTATCCTCTACCCTCCACATTGGATGAACTCATTGAGCTCAGCACCCGACTAGACCTCCGTATTAGGGCCCGGAGAAGAGAGACGAGACAGAACCCTGCACTCTCCACTGCAGCTCATCGCCTGAACTCACACACCCTGGCCACCTTCATTGACTCTAGTTCCGATGGCAAAATTATGGATGAGGGCTTGGCTATGCAACTCGGATGGTCATCTTCTGGAACTGTTACCCACCAGACTTCCCCTGTTCACATGCTGATTTCTGGTAACCATCATGAAACCATCCAGTTTCATCTCCTGCCCTAATCCAACATCCCACTGATCCTGGGTTTCCCATGGCTCCGCAAACACAACCCACACATCGACTGGACCACAGCCACCATCCTCAGCTGGAACAGCTTCTGCCACTAGGTCTGCCTTCAGGGTGCATTGGTGCCTTGTCAGACTACGCTCCCCAGCACCTGCCCGGACCTGGTCAGAGTCCCTGCTGACTACCACGGCCTCCAGGAGGTGTTCAGTAAGGCCAAAGCAACCTCACTGCCCCCTCATCGCCCTTATGACTGTTGTATTGATCTGAAGCCTGGCACATCACCTCTTAAGGGGCGGCTATACTCTCTGTCTGGTCCAGAACGGGAGGCCATGGAGAACTATATTAATGACTCTCTGGCTGCCGTAATCATCCGCCCTTCATCTTCTCCTGCAGGGGCAGGATTCTTTTTTTGTGGAAAAGAAGGACAAGTCCCGGCGCCCTTGCATCAATTACTGGGGACTCAACAACATCACTGTTAAGAACCGGTACCCTCTCTCACTCATCTCCTCCGCCTATGAGTTACTTCAAGGGGCCAAGATCTTCACCAAGCTCGACCTTCGTA